ATTGTCGAGGTTTCTTAAAAAAAAATGTCTCAAATGAACGTGATATATTAAAGACTAGAAAAATACATTTAATTAATGACATTTAATACCAATATTGGTCAAAAGATAGAAGCTAAAAAGTTCCACATGCTACTTGAATAATGCACTGTTGCTCTTTAGAACATTACTATCTAGATAGGTTGACAAATAGACAGAAGGTTAGTTATAACTCCTACAAGTGGCAATTGAATTCAACAATTAGATCAGGAATTTTCAGAAGCTTTTGAATAGTTGAACAGTTGTTGGTGATTCACGATAGTTGACCCATTTTGCTAAGGCGTTACCCATTTGACGAAAGTTTAGTATAAATTAATTTCACCGTAGAAATAAAAATAATAGAAGAATTGAACAATTTTTTTAATTAGCAGAAATTCAGAATCATTAATTTTCATGAGGGGAAAACCATTCTCGAGAGGCCCGCAAAACCGTGGGGCGCACGCGGAAGGAGACGTAGGCGGCAGAGTCGAAACCAGTGGGCCCAAGCCCACTGTGTTGGGCTGCGCGGCTTCGGTTTTGAAAGGAAAAGGAGGCACGACACGGTAATCTATTTCTTACCAAAAGAAAAGTGACATTACATTTATTATTTATTTATTTATCTGAAAAGGAAAAGAATTATCCGACGGAAAATGTAATATTCGGTTGTGGACTGTATAGTCTGTGGGAAGGGAATGATAGTCTATTTAAATTCAACCAAACATTAAAATAGCACGCGTGATTCGTGCTGTTTGGAAACACAAACACAAACACAAACACCAACCCCAACATAAATACCAATTCCTAACCCTTGCGAGTTGAGTGGCTTTCAAAAGCTGGTTTTGTACCCTTCCAATTCCAAGGTATGTGATCTGCGCTGTGTTTCAGATTCAGTTTCAGTTTCAGCAATTGCATATTCATTCTTTGAGTAGCACAGGAGAGGATCTATCGAATGGCCAACATAGACATCGAAGGGATCTTGAAGCAGCTGCCCAACGATGGGCGTGTTCCCAAGACCAAAATCGTCTGTACTTTGGGTCCTGCATCTCGATCCGTAGAAATGACTGAGAAGCTTCTCAGGGCAGGGATGAACGTTGCTCGTTTCAATTTCTCTCATGGTACCCACGACTATCATCAGGAAACCCTTAACAATCTTAAGACTGCTATGCACAACACTGGAATACTCTGTGCCGTCATGCTTGACACTAAGGTCACCCTCCTCTTCTCTTCTCTTCTCCTTTTCTTTCTACTTCTACTATTCGTCGTATGTGCTTCATTTGCTCCACTCACTAACTCTATTTTTCTTTTTAATGCTTTTAATGCATACATCATTTGAGTTTGTCATAAGCCAAACTCTGTCTGTGATTCCATTCACCACCTACATTATATTTAATTTGGGGACATCTCAGACACTTCACTTTATCACTAATTCTAATTCTCGTATGTTGTTCCCCTATATAGAACCTAGCCATTTAGATTGTAGACACAAGTTTAAAGTGCCTTTGGCCAAATTGAATGGGTTTTCAACAAATCTTTTGTATTTGGTTTGTGTTAAATTATTATATGCTTTTACCTTTACATTTAATCCTTGATTTTGAGAGTTTCATGGTTTGTTTGTGGGGTTTTGGGCCTTCATAAATAAGTTCTCAACAGTAGTGGACAGTTTTGTCCTCTCCCCCCCCCCCCCTCTTTTTTTTTTCCTTTTCATTTAATAAATACCTTGTTGAGGAGAATTTCTTTTCATTTGTGCAGGGACCCGAAATTCGGACGGGTTTTCTGAAAGATGGAAAACCTATTCAACTTAAAGAAGGACAAGAAATCACCATTACTACTGATTATGACATTAAGGGGGATCAGGAGATGATATCAATGAGTTACAAGAAGCTGCCTGTCCACTTGAAGCCTGGTAATACCATACTGTGCTCTGATGGGACAATCACTCTCACTGTCTTGTCTTGTGATCCAGATGCTGGTACTGTTAGATGTCGTTGTGAAAACACTGCAATGTTAGGTGAGAGAAAAAATGTTAATCTTCCTGGCGTTGTGGTGGATCTTCCTACTCTTACTGAGAAGGATAAGGAAGATATTCTTGGATGGGGTGTCCCTAACAAGATTGACATGATTGCTCTTTCATTTGTTCGTAAGGGCTCAGATCTTGTTAATGTCCGGAAGGTTCTGGGGCCACATGCAAAGCATATTCAGTTGATGTCAAAGGTATTTTTGTTGCATTCTTATGCAACTTCTATAATATATACCTTGTGCATATTCCATAATAACAATAGGTTTTATTACTACTGGTGATCTATTTTTCATTTGTTTGTGGTTTCTCTTCTCAGTTGCTCTCGAAAGGGTATTTTTTCCCTTCACCTGTTCTCCATATATGAGCTTCACACTGACAATGGGGACATTGTTTGTTGTGTGTTTTGGAATTGAAATTTGTTATTGGTTTAGTGCTCCGAAAACTCAGACTACTAAATGGGGAACCCATGCTTTTAGCTCCCATAGTTTTTACTATAAGAATAAAGGAGGAGAATTTCATGTCCTTGTCTAGCACTCTAGCTCAGTATCTTCCATACATAATCAAGTTGAATGTATTTCATCTTCTTTCTCTTTAGCACAAGTTGCGTGCTTGTTTGTATGATATATGAAGGAGCATTAATCATGTTTTCACTTATGCTTAAGATTTTCATTTACCTGCTCATCTCTTTCAATTCAGAAATCCTGATTTATTTTTTAATGATTTTATGGCATTCCAAGGTTGAGAATCAGGAGGGAGTCATGAATTTTGATGAGATTCTGCGTGAGACTGATGCATTCATGGTGGCACGTGGTGATCTTGGAATGGAAATTCCAGTTGAAAAGATTTTTCTAGCGCAGAAAATGATGATATACAAGTGTAATCTTGTTGGGAAGCCTGTGGTCACTGCTACCCAAATGCTTGAATCCATGATCAAGTCTCCCCGGCCCACTCGAGCTGAAGCAACTGATGTAGCTAATGCAGTTCTTGATGGAACAGATTGTGTAATGCTTAGTGGTGAAAGTGCAGCTGGGGCTTACCCTGAACTTGCTGTGAAAATCATGGCTCGTATTTGTATTGAAGCAGAATCATCTCTTGACTATGGTGCTATTTTCAAAGAGATGATAAGGTCTACCCCTTTGCCTATGAGTCCTTTGGAAAGTCTTGCATCATCTGCTGTCCGCACTGCTAACAAGGCCAAAGCAAAGCTCATTGTTGTGCTGACACGTGGTGGGACTACAGCCAAGTTGGTTGCTAAATACAGGCCAGCGGTTCCAATCTTGTCAGTGGTGGTTCCAGTTTTGACTACAGATTCATTTGATTGGACCTGCAGTGATGAGACACCTGCTAGGCACAGCTTAATATACAGGGGCTTAATTCCAATATTGGCTGAGGGATCTGCGAAAGCAACTGATGCAGAATCCACAGAAGTGATTCTGGAAGCTGCTCTTAAGTCGGCAACAGAAAAGGGGCTTTGTAAGCCTGGTGATGCAGTTGTTGCCCTTCATCGTATTGGAGTTGCCTCTGTTATAAAGATCTGCATAGTGAAATAATGCAAGATGTTCAGGATGTGTTATTGGCCTGCGTGGCACCAACTGATGCAGGGTTATATTTTGCCTTTTATTATGAAACTTTGTGCTGTTTATCCATTCATATAATGGAGGATTAGTTGCTAGCTTTAGATCGAGCGGGTTTTGTATTCAATGTTAATATTGCGGAGTACTTCTAAATGAGATTATTATGGAAATAATCCGCATTCTTGCATTTTAAAATATTATTGGTTTTGCGGATAACCCTGTTTCATTATCCGCGAACACTTTTGCAAGGGCAGATATATATTTAAAGTACGAATGGCAAAATAATTAGGATGAAACTAGGATAAAAGAGAGTGAAAAACATAAAAAAGATATCTAGTTCATAGGATAATTTGTTTTTTTTTTTTAAATAAATTAGGGACTAATACAAATGAATAATGCATTTTTTAGAGACTAACATTAATGGTATACGCATATATCTTTTTAAGGATTTGTATATGTGATAAGTTATGCTCGTCGTATCTGAGAGTCTGCTATGCACTAACAAAACTTAAGTCTACTTATAATATTACGATTATTATTAGTTATTTGACTTCCCTAAATATTTCCGCTACCATCTTGCTTTTTGTTGGTATCAATACTGGAAATCTTTACCAACAGCTATCATCTCTCAATTCTTTTTTATATTATTATTATTATTATTATTATTTTAAATTTTTAAGTGTTCCTCCTTTGGGGAGGATGATGGAGACTTTATGTCACATGTATATTTAACACGGGGAGTGTTTGCTTCTCTTTTTGTTAACCAATGCTAATTAACGTAAAACCTAATTTGATTAATGAATTACATTAACTTTTAGCGATCATATAAGTAACTACAGTTGTTTTAGGAACTAATTTAACTGATTACTTCTAAAAAATGTTTGCAACAATTTCTTTTCAATCTATATTATTATTATTAAGATTGTACATGAATTTTAATAAATAATTCAAGAGCATTGGTTAAAGAAACAAAAAATGACAATTTTTGTTGAAAAGTATGTTAGATTGCATTGAAAATTATGAGAAGAGGTTAATTAATTATATTCTCTTGACAAAAAAAATTGATTTCTTATTCCTTGACCTGATTAGCAATTTACCATAATTTTAAATCTACTTTTCAAAAACTAGTCTAAACTTTTAAAATTTTCATAATTATCACTTATGTAATATACAGTTCGTTTGTTTTTCCATTCTATAAACGGAATTAACAAAAATCAATGACCTTAAATAACAATGTACAATTTACAGTGAGCATTTTTCTTCACAAACAAGCCATAAAATATAGGTTCTAAACTAAAAAATCTTATATTATTCAGTGGATTCAACAAAGCTCACTTTTGCCAAATCTTCAACTAAAATATAAATTTTTGCATATGCATCCAGTAAAGGTCGCCATGATAATTATCCCCACGTAAGCAGCGAGTCTGTCTGTAGATAAGGCACAGAAAACGAAGGTTAGCACATGGTACTTGAAATTTAGTATGAGTTTGGAATTCCTTCCCTAAGTAAAAAAATACTGATTGTAACGGAACAGATATTTGAAAAACAGAAAGATAAGAGAGATAGGGATGGCGTATGGATGTTGCTGCCGTTGGAAACCCTTGGGCATGGATTGCTGGTTATCTTCGTCCTCAGCCTCAAATTGGAAGAAGCGTCTTGGGCCTGTGCTCGTTTCTGTGTCTTCTCGCTCCGATGATATCTCTCCCACTAGCAATAGCACTATCACTAGTAGCAGCGGAAGAAGAGAAGAAGACATAAAAGGATCAGGAACTACCGCCAGAGGTCGCAGATTGCTTAGAATTCGTGAAGAGAAACAGCAGCGGGAATACGATCGCCTTAACAATTACCCTGCTTGGGCAAAGTAAAGTATTGTGTTGATGCCCATGCGTGCATTGTGATAAATGATACATGTTACATTCTTGTGCTTTTTATTTCATGATATAATAACTGAATGCTTTGCTTTGCTTTGCTTTGCTTTGCTTTTCAGAGTCCTGGAAAATGCTTGCAAAGATGATGCTGAACTTCGAGCCGTTCTTGGAGATAGTGTTGGCAACCCTGAACTCATGAGAAAACGGGTATGTCTGTTACTGTTGCAGTTGCAAATCAAATACACGTCCCAATAACTAAATGTAGCTCCTCTGTTTGTGAATTGTTGTGATAGGTGGAAGATAGGGTTCGAAAGAAGGGTAGAGACTTTCATAAGTCCAAAACAGGATCTGTGCTTGCTTTCAAAGTCAGCTTTAGAGAGTAAACCTATTTTCCTTCCTCTCAACAGTAACACACAAGCACAAATGCCATGGATTTCATGTGTAATACGATGATCAAATGCTATGAACCACCATTAACACTTTATTCTAGCATCACACTAATGACAGCATGCCTCTTGCAGCTTCAATCCAGTTGATTCATTTATCTGGTTTGAATTGTTCGGATCACCATCTGATCAGGATGTTAATCTAATTGGTAATGTAAGTGTTTCATTTAGATTTTTATCTTTTAATATATTGCTATATTTGTTTTTCTGTTTGATTCATGAAGAATATGCAGGTTATTCAATCATGGTATGTCATGGGTCGCCTTGGTGCCTTCAATTCTTCAAATTTGCAGGTTAGGCTATGTTCAATTCTCCTCGGTTTTATTTATTCCATGGTTATTCTCTTTTGATTGTTACCTATTCTGTTTGCTGTTGGAGTCCAATATCTTAATTCTTAGATTTACATGTATTATAATGAAATCATAAAATCAATATTTTGAGTCTGTTGATTTGAAATTCTTCTAAGTTCTGGCACCATTTTTGGTATTTATTAAGAAGTAAAGGAGAGAGGTTGTGTGTGGAAGAGAGTGAAACTGAGATGTCCAAATCCAATTGTTTAATTGTATTTAGTTAGATATACACCCTTGGAGTTAAGTGAAACACATAGAAGTACTAAAATATCTCACGGAATAGAATTTTATCATTTTAGACTAGTCTTTATGTTATTATTTTTGCTGGAATTGTCCAAGTTGTTCTCCGTACCATTTATACCAGAGTCTAAGTAGAAGTTTTACATTGGTCTTTTGGTCACACATCATATTAATATATTTTCACACTCTCTCTGCTCTCATTTTATACTCTTTTCCAATAATTTCAACATAGTATTGAAGCCTGGTTCCATCCACCATGACCTGTGTTCACTGTGGTATGGTATTCACTGCGCTATGGTCTCAAAAATATAGATCTCACTTTTGTTTGTATCTTCTCCTCATGGTATCTCTGTCTCGTAACTTCCTTCCCCCGAGCTATGCACTAACTTTGACCAGAGTCCACAACTGCCATGCTCGGGTTTATGCTGTCTAATATTGTTCTGGTCTTGCTTTATTTTGTGATCTTTGCCTTGGATTAGCTTGTTCCTGTGTGATTTTTTTACCCATTTATCCTTGCTTCTGTATTTGAATTTGTCTTATCCAATTGCTTGTGTTTTTCTGTATTCTAGTCTGTCTGCAAGTCATTATTTGTTGGATTCTATTCATATTGTAGCATGCTTCCCAAGCTTCTTGGGCCTCGTGTATTCATACTTGAGGTTAATCTTGATTGAATCTTCCAAATGTTATTGTTGATGAATTTGGAGAAGAATTTTGCATAGGTGATTCTTGGAAGCAATTGTTTGTACCAATCAACACACTTATCTTTCCTACTACAACAAATTATTTTAGTTGTGTCTCTACTCTTTTGCTATGCAACATGCCAACTAGCTCTTCTAGCTGTGGATCATTTCAACACATCCTTTTAGTCTTCTCTACTTCCTATGAGTAACCCAGATAAAATGTGAGGGTTGCATTAGGTAGTCAACAACCAACGTAAAACTTTGTTGAATATCAATGACATTGATGAATGGGTGATAGTGTTATTGATAATTTGTTGTTTGGAAGCAACACATTGTATGGCTCTAGAACGTCAAATGAGCAATACTTATTGCGTTGTCGCCCAAATGTAAACTTGTGTGGGTAAAGAAGTTACTTCACAAGATAAAGATTTGTTTTGGAACATGGAATAAATCACACTGACTTGTAAATCAATGGAAATAGTGGACATCATGGTTAGGAGGAGGATTAATTTTATGTTCCTTTTAGATACTAAGTGGATAGGAGAAAAGTCAAAGGAATTAGACACCTTAGGCTTAACTTACAACAACAACCAAGTTTTATCTCACTAGGTGAGGTCAGCTAACACCTAAAATTATGGTACAAAATTGTGCAAATTGTGTGGGTTAAAGCTCAATTCATATTATGAAATTATGGGAAAGTGTATAATTGGGCAAAGATTAGTACGACATTCAAATTATTGAAAATAAATTTGGTTGTATGCCTAGGATAATGACCATGGAAGCAATATACTTGCTGCTACAATGTTTAATAGAGAGATATTGGAGGAATCAAAAGGACTTAAATATGTTCTTCATTGATTTGAAAAGGGTGTAAGATCAGGTTTCGAGAGAGGTAATGTGGAAGGCCCTAGAGAAGAAGGAGATCATATCGCATATATTTGAGCAATTAATGATATGTATGAGGGGCTCACAACTATGTTGAGACACAAGATGTGGTAGTACCTATGGTAAAAACGATAGTAGAATCTGGTCTTAGATGATTTGGGCACAAGTAAATAAGATAGAGTGGCCAAGTAAAGGGAATAGATCAATCGAGAGAGGGTAGGCCAATTGCTAGAGGTAAGGGAGACCATTAAAAACCACAGGCAACACCATTAACAAGGATTTAGAGGTCAATACTTTGTCTATAGGCATAATTTATGATAAAGAATTGTGGCATTGTTTGATCCATGTAGTTGATCCACTTAGTGGAAAAAGGCTTGGTTGTTGCTTTTCTTTCCAACACCCTGCTCCTTTTGTTGTCTTTCCAGAAGTTGGCATGTTTTGTAAGACTCATTTTTCTGTGTAGTTTCTTCAGCAGTGTTTTGCTAATAAATTATGTGGTTTATGAAGTCTATTGTATTAAATTTTGCTTCTTTGTAAAATAGCTGACAGTTTAGTGAATTAATACTTCAACTAGATGGCGAATGTTGAGCGTAAGGATTTTGGTTTTAGGGGTCTTATGTGGGAGCTTTTCAACCTGTTCTTGTTGAAATGTAACTATATGACTGAAATTCTAAGATGTCATAGATTTCCTATTTGCATATTTTCCTTAAAGAAAATTGTACATTATGGACTAGTGTGAATCCAGTACTATGGACTGGTGTTATCAGTCAAATCTGGTCGTCAAAATATGTGAAGACTCCTAACTTTTTTCAGATGTAAACTTTCTGATGTGCTACTGTGACATTTATGTGATTATTAATAGAGTATGGTACAGACACGTTATGATTCTCTTGTTAGATTTTGGCATATGGCAATGCATGCTTTCGCTTAAGCAGTAACTGGCTTGAATATTTGTGTCCGGATCTCTATTGCCAAAAATATCTGTCTCTTCATATGTAATGAGTTCTAGGACCATTCTCTTGGTCTGTATGCAAGTTTGCAATAAATTATTTTTATAGAATTTCGTAATTCTTAACAACAAACGACACTATTTCTAGTTTCCTTCTTGTAGCTGTTACCTTTTAACAAAGAATTGAAGTATCTTGAATTGATGACAGCTGGCAAATTCATCAATGGAGTATGATCCTTTATACGATGCAGATAAGGGTTTCAAAGTGATGCCGTCATCTTTCCATGATATCAGTGACATTGAGTTCCAGGAAAACTGGGGACGTGTATGGTATAACCTCTAGAACTCTTATTTTTTTAAATGGTTTTATGACATTGCAGTGCACGGGGGTTAACAAATATTCGAATGATAAAGATAAATTTAAATTATAATAACTCTTTTAACATAAGAATATGCAATAAAAAGTTCAATATGAAAAGTATTAAAAAATTGGTTGCTAAAACTCATGTAAATAAATATTGAAAAGGAGAGACGCTTTCTTTAATTTGACTTAGCTTATAGTATCTAAAAGGCTGTGAAATTCTTTTAAAAATGGTAGAGACTTAAGTTTATATAAGTACTAGATACATGAATGCAATTTTGAAAGCACAGTAGGAATCAAAACTCTTAACTAATTTGATACATTGTTGAATATTCACTGTATATAATTTATAAGCTGTCGTTATAAAAATGGTTAATATCTCATATTGAGAATTGCGATAAATTAACGATAAAAATTAATACAATATCTTATAATACGAAGTTGCACAAACTCTAAATCAATCCAAATATTTTTCAGCAAAAATTCTGTCAAAAAATAAAATTCAAAATGTGTTACATAAATTTCTATATTTTTATTAATTTCAGTTAATCACAATATGGCCAAATATTGGTTACTCTTCACAATTTTAGAGAAAACAAGGGATTTTAAGTTTGTAACGTTTATACTTGTAAACAGAACTAATTGAATGCACAAGACGGATTTTAAAAAAACTCGAAAAAAATATCAAAGCTGAGATTTTGTAGGTAATGTGTATTAATCAACACAAAAACAAAAACAGGTACAAAAATAAACAGTAACATGACTGAAATCTCTCATGTGAAATGAACCAAACTGTTAATTCTTCAAGACACTTTAACAGGATTTATTTTGGTTTCATGATTGAGACCCAAGACACAACGAAGAAGTAGAAAGAGAGAGTAGAAGAAACATTCAAAATGTTTTCAGAATAAGTAGAGACTTGGTCCCTTGTTATTCCTTTCAATCATTCTTTCCAGGATTCTAGCATTATCTTTTGTTGGAGGGGTTCAACACTTTTGAAAGAATAAACAGAACCAAAAAAAAAATATTAAAAAGAAAAAAAAAATGAGGTATTTTCCGACACTGTAAAAAGCCAGACAGAGAAAATGAAGTGGAAGGAAAAGAAGTCTTGAAATATATTTGGAGAAAATAAAGATTTATTTGGGTAGGTAAAATAATAATTGAAGTTTGGGTTGGCGAAGAAGTTAAACATTATTAAGATGAAGAATAATATTCAAGAATTTCAAATGAAAACAATAGAAGATAGATGTAGATTTAAAAGTGTTTTAAGATAATAAAAAAAATTATTAATGATCGGTGCAATCCATTAGATAAGTCTGTATTAATAAGGTAAAATAAATCAAAATTCAAATTTTGAAATGCATGAAAAATGGAGTTAATTAATCAATAGACTTAAATAATTTTTTGGTCTATATAAATATTAAGGTTGAAATAGTTTCCTAAAAAAAAATTATTAGAATTTAATCCTTAACAAATGAAGCTAGTCAAAATAAATATTAACCTTAATCTCTATCCGTTAAATATCGAATTGGCCAGCATTGTTTCAAATTAGTGTTGTCAAATGTGATAAACCTTTATCTGTATTTTAAAATACTTTAAAATAAAGACTTAAGTAATTTTTCTGTCCTCGTAACAGTTTTTGCATAGTAAATAAGGCATAAAAAATGAGTCTCTTGTCATTAATCTATGTTAGTTAAGTGTTGAGAGCATGTTTGATTTCTATTTTAAAAACAGTTTTTTGTTTTTAAAAATAAATTCTAATATAAATTTGTATTAGATTTTTTTTAAAAAAAAACAGATAACTATTTTTAAAATAGAAATCAAACATGCTCTAATTCTTTATTTTATAAATATTTTTAAATATTATGTACTTACTAGGATAAATATCTGTCACGTGTCTTAATGAATTGAAACTCCGTTAGCTAATTGACATACAGAAATTAATTTTTACTTGCTCAATTTATTAGGGACTAAGTTTTGATTTTAATTTTTTCTGAGACTAATTTTAAACATAACTTTCATATAAACTAAAAATTTATTTAAGCATTACTTGATAATAAGAAAAATGAAGAAAGTAGAAGTTCGGATGAAAAAGATCACTTGTATGAATGACACGTATTAGTTGTATTTGCATGCAATGTGTTTGATATAATTGAGTATATAACTGAAATATGTGATTTGATAAAGATTCCTGTTGGTACAATACATTTAAGCTTGAGACATATCTTACAGGGTGGACTTGGGTACATCTGATTATTTTGCAGTTGATGTCCTTCTCAACTGCCTAACTGTCTTAAGCTCAGAGTAAGTTGGAGTACCAAATTACATGAAATAAAGTAGTTGTTCGTTGTTTTGCAAAAGCAATTGTGATGAGCTTTTTCTGAATAGCAGATATCTTGGTATCCAACAAATTGTTTTTGGTGGTCGCCGCATGGGTGATTGGGAAGAGGGGATGACAAACCCTGAGTACGGTTACAAATTCTTCAAGATATAAACTGGGACTGTTCGCAGTTGATTTCATTCCTCGTATTGTACTTCAATTTAGTTCAGAAAGAGTGTAACATTATGCATACGAAAAGGTAAACTTATTGATCAGTTGAACTTCTGTGTTGTTCCTTTTATTTGGTATACTTGTCATTATTTACTCCAACTCGTTGCTTGCACGAGTCGAAAATGGTGATCTTTAACATATCTTAACTATAATTTCATTATTTAGATGAAATGGAAGCATCTTCAAGCGGTATTCGACATATTATGCACAACATAACAATGGTCTACAGCTAAAATTAATTTGACATAATTTAGCCAGAATGTCAAAATTCTAGAGCAATTGTTAGATACGTCGAATCCCAGGAATTATTCATTTATACAAGAGCTAGTGGGAACCTCCTAAAATTTCAGCATTTCCAAAATAACAAAAGTTGTAGTAATAACAATAACGAGTTGTTATTTCAAACTTTGAAATTTTGCTTAACTCTTCTGGAAAACTCCAGCTTTTCCAAAGTACTATTAGTAGGAATATACTTATAGAAATTTTAGCAGAGTAACAGTAGTATGTTTTTAGCATTTCTAAAATAACAGTCTGCACTTTTACATTACATTAACGGTCTCTTCTAAAATTTTAGTACAAAAATTTACAATATATACTTTCAAAATTATAGAAATTTTGTTTGTTTCCTCTGAAATTTTAGTAGTACTTCCAAATTTCCAGAAAATTTACAGAAATTTATAGTCTATAGTTTTAAATTTATAGAAATTTTAGCGTTATAAATTTTAGTTGTACATTCAAATTTACAATCTATACTTACAAATTTACAACAATTTACACTCGATACTTTCAAATTTATGGTACTAGTCGTAGTATTTTCAGATTTATAAGAATTTGTAGTCTATAGTTTCAAGTTTACAGAAATTTTGGCAGAGATTCATATAAAATTTCAGCATTTTCAAAATATCAAATATTTGTCCAAAATGTATGTATCACCACTAGGCAAATCCAAATAACATAACGCATCAAATCTAATAATATTCAAGGGACATTATTTATATAGCATCTTTGCAACAAAATATTTAATACAACCTAACACATGATTGAACTCCGCTTATTGTTGCATAGGAGTGTTACTGAATACACTCTAGTTTGCTCTTTTTAACATTCTTAATAATTGGTTGTATAATGCAAGAATCAAAATGATATCAAAGCAAATGATCCATTGTGGTGGTGGTGGGGGGGCGCTATAACTCCCGTTCAAACTATTGTTTGCTTATATGAAAAATAATAGACAAGAGAAGGATGACTTAACACAAACTTAACAAAGACCCAACAATCACCATGAACTAAAGAGGAAACATAACAAACCACGGGTTTTTTTCTTATTCTCACACATCATCTTCAAAGAATAGCATTTTAACACTTTACAAATTAAGTAAAAGTATAAATAAAAAACATGTCAAATGACGTGTGTGTGTGTAGTAGAGATTATCAAAATCTGAAGTGATTCTGTCCAATATAAAACTTCTTTAAAGAGTTGTCGGGGCTTTATTTATCGAATAGTTCTCTCATCTCTCAAATAATGTGACCCGTATATCTTACTAAAAAGAGTTACATTTTGTTAATAACTCGTTTTGTACATTAGTAGCTCAATCTTAAGGATAATTCTCTCTTCCTAAGATTATAACTATTACACTTAGATTATTAATGACTACATAATTCTAATAGAGGTCCCTAGAAATAAGAAATGTTGTAAATGTAAAAAGATAAAAAATGATTTAATTAAAGTTTGTTATAATAATTTCAGAAACTTATTCCAAACCACTTAAGTAAGGAAGAGCAACTTAGAACTCAAATTATGTTTTTACTAATATTACAAAAGTGCCATTCTCCCTTATTAAATTGAGGGGTGTGTTTAAAATTAAGTTGTAGCTTATATTATACTTACATGGTACGCAGAGAAAGCATAAATAGACATAGGTAAATAGAAACTAGGTGTGTCTATTACCATTTAATTTCAGTAATTTATCTAAAATCTGTTTTTTTACTCTTATAATCATATTAATAGTAAAAATATTCTAAACAAAAGCCACTTAAATGTGTCTTTACACACAACGATAATAGATACTCTCTTAGAAACTTTATTACACATGAAATATTTGGATTGAAGAGTGTAGGGAAAAAGGAAACCCTTTTGTAGATAATCCATGAAGATACTAGATCATTTGGCATAGCTGTGACTTAATTTTCTTAGTCCATATAAGACACTATTCCATCGTCATATTTCACCAAAAGCATTGAAAGAAAATCATACAAGAATATGCAACAAATAGAAATATGAACGGCGCCACTCACCATGTATAACGGGACTTAAAGCACCATAACAAATCATAAAATTTTGAAATAAGATTAGATACAGTAGTATCTTGCGCCACATATTAGGTTAGTAGTCGAACGGACTGAGATCTTCACATTAGCAGTTGACGACAAGTTATAGTCAGAGCTGTGCAACCATCGGCAGAGGGTGACATATCTCATAGGCTCTAGCTTCGAGTATATGTCTCAGAATTAGCAGTCATCAGTGCCTCCACTTATCAATTACCATACAGCAATAAATGTACATACAATAAAAGGCCCCATTCGATGCCAAAAGACAACGCATCAAACTATTCGGTGACTCGTGTAGAGGTTTAAATCTTTAAAATGCACAAAACCCCCAAAAGCCCCGGCAAAACTTGAGCAGCAGAAATAATTGAATCAGGTCAGAATCACGAAATATCCTGGAAAGCCAGATTCAACTCTTGGGCAGATTTTGCAATTGCTCCTCCTCTTCTACAGGTGACGGGACAACAAATATTGAGGAGATTAGTATGCGAAATCCTAAAGCACCCTAATATATTTTGTTGAGCCCCCTATTTAATTAAAGAAGTAATCATGCTTTTTGAGCTTTCAAATTCTACATTTTTTTATTCAATACTTTAACTAGGAGAATTTTAAGCTATAAAACATTTGAAAGACAGCATCGCCAGAACTGGCTGAAACAAAAGGAAAATAGTTTTAAAAGGCCAAATAAACAAACTTGAATAGGTACCTTGAAAGAGAAGGTAAAAAACGTTTAACTTTTTCAAGCTCTATGAAGCAGAGGTTGCAGCGTTCTAGCCTGATCATTAACAAGGAAAAAAGATGAATTGAGCATATATGTTAATAAATTATAACATGTTAGATGTAAGTTAAATAAAAAGTTCAGATTAGGTGTAAGAGTTTTTAGACTTACATTGGTGTACCCCTATATATATATATATATATATGAAAAGCCCATAAGAACTAACCTTTTCTCAGCTTCAATATCAACACCAACGGGTTGTGTAGCTGACAGGGTTGAATAGATTACTGAACCAAATATTCTGACCAGTTTCAATAGCATTTCCAAGGATATTCCTAGATGTCTGCAGATACATAAATATCAAATTGTCAACATAGAACTAAATGTATAAAATTATAAATGTAAAGAAATAAAAACACATCAAAATATTATAACTGGAAAAACCCAAAATACGTTGCAAGTTTCGCAGAATTTTTGGGGAAAAAGTACTGTTTTATAGAAGCCAGAAGCCAAGAGATATAAAACATGCAATACAGAGCCAAGTAGCTAATACGTCAATTGACACCAGCTCTAACAGACTTAGTGTGATGAAGGACCAGCTCTTCTACCCAAGTAGCTAATTTTTGTATTTTTTACTGAGTTTTCAATTAGGTTCCAATATTTTAAAAATTTTAGAAGTCCTTGTATTCCATATATACCTTTCGGCAAAAAACAGAATAAGTCTAATAACGTATTAAGTTGTTCTGAGTGTCAAATAAAATCCCTCTAGTTATATCAGTTTTCAAATAAGTCTGTATACTTCAGCGTAAGTTAAATTGTTGAAGGGCTTTTAATGGCACTGATAAGGACATATTTTAAAAACTTATAGAGGTATAGGGATTCTGCTAAAATCTTTTAAACTACAGGGACTAACATAAACTATATATTTCTTTAACTACATTTTTTTTTAACATTTCCCTTAATTGCGTGATTGATAGACAGGATCCTTGAAAGAAATAATAAGAAAAAAATCCACCATTTCCATCACTTGAGTGACTGATTCCTTCAAATAATAGAAGGAATTTAATTTTCCAAGGTTCCTAAACAGAACTAGGGTGCTTACAAGGAAGTAAAAAAAATAATGCCTCAGCCGGTCATGTGTGTCACTCGGCAATTATAATCTGAAACAAACATTAACAACAAACTTAAACTTTCTTGAGAGTAGAGTTCTAACATATCACAGAATTAAATTACTGATGTATTATCATGTAAGGATCAGTTGCAGTTTAAATTAATGATTGCCGACGACCACTGTCACTTTCTGTGCCTCCTTTTCAATTACATTTTCTCCATAGATAAATTCCTTCTTTTTCCCTCCACAGAATTAATAAAAGCTTATACTCTAAAATTACTGCATAATACTGTTAGACAATATCCTATAAGCTGGTCTAATACATTATATTCAATAAAACATCAAAGTGAATCATCACTTTTATGATGCACCCCTTTCCCTTAAATTCCCAAAATTGCCTCCCCATTCTTGCTGTTGGGAATACCCTATACACTGGTTAATGCACATATATTGTAAGCGAAAAATTACAATAACTAAGCCTTATCCTACTAGGTGAGGTTGGCTATATGAGTCACATAATGCCATTAAGCTAAAAAAAATTAAATTCTCAGAAATATTGTTTATCATTAGATCTCTTTTAATAAATTCAACAGAGGCAATTATATCATGACATTATGTGACTTGTATAGCACTCTGTTGCATCTAGCATTAGTTTTTTTTTTTTTTCCCCTTTTATACTCTCAATAGTTCTTGAATTAATTTCTAATATTTCTTTTGACATCTAACAATTCAAGAAAAGTATCAAACAATTTATTATACAATTAACGTAAACAATATAATTTGCGATAAGTGTAAAAAGTGCAGAATAGCAATATAATATAGTTTGCAGTAAGTGCAGAATAGTAATACGACACAATAAAGTAAACATGTAACAAATGTAAAAAAAAAGAGAAAAAAAGATGTAAAAGAATAATAGGAAGAAAAGAAATAGAGAAAAATCACTTTTATTAATAATCAATATAAAACGAGAAAAAAAAAGAATAAAAAAAAAAGAGAACATAGAAAAAGAAGTGATATTTATAATTAACGTAAAAGTAAAGTTAAAAGGAGAAGAAAATACAGAAAAACAAAAACAGAATATAAGAGGAAGAAAGATGCATAGAGGAAAGAGAGAACAAAGGAAGAGAGAGAAGAAGTATTTAAGGAAGAAAGTATCTAGAGAAGAAAAAAAATCATGAATACGAGGAACCATGGAGATGAGGAGGAGACACGATATGTGAGGATGTGTTTGTGAATTATGATATTAGGAATTCAAATTCCTAGAGTATTAGTTATGAATTGAACTAGACCAAATTTAGTAGTCATAAAATTTCATGGAATTATAATCCCAATTTCAAATGGGCATCCAAACATGATAATTAAAATTCTGAAACTCAATTCTAATTTGAACGTCTAATTCCATATTCAATTTCATACACCAAATAGACCCTTATAGTTCTTCTGAGTTCCCCTTTTTATCGGATAAAAAATGATGTCATTCATTGTCCTCACTAGTGCCTCTAGTAATCTTATTTGCATGTGACCAAACCACCTTAAACAATTTTCTATCATTTTTTTATCATCAATGCTATTAATTCAAACAAGGTAAATCACGGCCCAAATTACCCAAATGTTGGATTATTCTAACACCAAAGTTTTCTCCAAAATAGCCTTCCCCTTCATTCCCACAGAAAGTTGGTTATTAATCCAACTGCTCTACTAGTGTGGTGATACTGAACACATAAAAAGAAATATTTCATAAACTGTGTAGCTGTATAATTTTATTTTTTCCTCTCTCATTTTTGATAAGTAATATTTTATGGCCTTTGTAGTGTAATTCTCCAGCAAAATGCATTTAAAATGCTGCCTCATATCAGCAGAAGGGACATTGCTTACTTACCTATCCATTTCACTTTGCAGAAGGTCAGTAAGAAGAGGCAGAAGTGCAGTGCATATATCAAGTGTCACGATATCAATTTTCTCCATCATAATGCTAACAACATCAGCAATCACCTGGAATAAATACCAATAAGAACACAAAAAACAATAATTTGATGCTCTAATGACAGAAAAGAAACACTCAAAACACTCACAGCATGATCATCCATCTTTGCCATTATGCCGATGACCTCCTTAACATCACTTCTTTCCCAGCATCTGAAGATCATCTGCAATATAATGCATTCAAAAGTTAAGCAAATTTATAACTGGTAGTAGGTTTCATTCAGTTACCAAAATTCTATCTTAGTCTAGAAACCATAAATTTTTACTGAAAAACCATGTTGTCATTTTGCTTGCTCTAGTTCAGGCTGTGGACCCTTCAAATTGGTTTTAAAAGGAACAAGTTCAACTCACCCAAAATAAAAAGCTTAATTCTTGGTTATAGTGATTTGGCATATCTACGGTCACAAGGTATGATAGAATTTTCAGGGATAAATATTTTCCATGTCCTCTTTTTATGGGATAAAATAAATTAGCTTCTTTGTGGTGCCTGTCTAACAGCTTTTGAAGATGTAATTCTTGTGCACTCCCAAGTTATGTTCGTGGTAGACTCAACTCTATAGGGTGGTATTGTTAGAAATAGAAAATCTAGAAAGTATCTCATAACATCATTATTGTTTCTTGGAATACTTTAGAGTATCTTGCATGATCACATAGGACTAGGAGTGGTTTCCACATTTCAATATTTCATTATATTTCATTGATTGGTTTCCTTATTTAATTAGGATTTGGTTTCTAGTATAGTACAAATAAGGATTAGAGTTTTTTCTTTTGTAAGACATCAATACCCATCATTTATGAATATATTATGTTCATTTATTCAGTGCTTGTTCTCTCTTCCTCCTGCTTTACCTCAATCCATGTAGTTTCAACACATGATATCCTCTGATCTTGAGTGCATTTTCTCTAATTGGATAAGAAAAAAATGCTAAAGCTCATAATTTTCATCCAAATTACCTTCCTACCATTGATGTTTAATAACATGAAATACTGTTGCTCATTATACATGTAACAGTAGCCAATACAGAAATCAAAATAAATCCAAAGGACTTAATGAAAAGTATTCAGAAAATAATAATCACAAATCCAAAATCTTCAATACCTGTAGCTTAGCTGAACGAGCCAGCATAGAGCTAAGAAATTCATCATGCTGTTCCATTACATCAGCAATGGAATCTTCATCAGTAGCAGAAACTGTGGCCTTCTCAGTGGATATGGAATGTCCTCTCTGTTTAACTTCAAGGAATAAGGAAATTACATCCTCAAAGGAAAAGAAAACAGAGAAATGGACACACAACAAAAGCAAACAAATCTGTCTCCTCAATACAATTAAACCAAACATTAAATTGCTTCTAAATTTATGAACTCTTTAAGTTCAACTCAACTGTCCTAAGTCATTGAGATATTGCAAACATTTTGCAGACAGAAATGTGCACAAGTGATTAAATTACATTCCAATAGATATCCTTTTTCCAATTAAGAAAAATCATTAAGAGAAACAAAAGTACACAGGAGGATAAATTATCCCAACCAAAATAGAAAAAAGTTGGGATATATTTATGGGAAAATCAGCTATTTCTCAATCATATATAAACTGCATTCCTTTAGGGATCTCAACGGGGCAGGCACGGGTAGTAGTCGTACACTCCTGGGGGTAAAAATTCACTTATGATTTGCTTATACTAAATACAAAGGAGTGACAGGTGTACAAAAGCAGGAAGAAAAGGGAAGCGAAGAGAGTAATACCCTTAAGGCTTTGTTGAGTTTTAGGGGAGAAATGGAGGGAAGGAAAAGGTTTATTTGATGATAACCCTTGTTTGGAGGTTTTTAAATGTGAGGAAAATTTTTTATAAGCCCTACAAAACCTCCATTAACTCATGTTTTTAGGTTCCTCCAAATTGGAGTTTTCTTTTTTTTTTTGGTTAACCCTCCTTCTCCTTCCCTTCTCTCCTCCCTTACCCCTTAAACCCTTCCTTCTCCCTCCAAACTTCCAAACAAAATCTAAGATTACAGGACAAGAGAGGTGCAATCAATTGAGGGGTTAGTTACAGGTAAGGGAAATGATGAGTTGAGGAGAAAGGAGATATACCAGTATCATCAGTGGATGGGGTATATACAAAGGTATGGGGAGATGAGAGAAAGGTAGGGAGAAGTTAGTAAAAGACATAAGCCTATCCTTGGGCCAAAAGTGAGGTTCAAGAGTCCATCAGACCATCCTTTGTTTTTACATTATTATCTTTTTCCTTTTAGTAATCTTTGGTTGCATTCCAAGATTTGCAGAATCTCGTTCTTCAATAAGAAGCTAAGCTCCTAGTGTTTCTTATTTGTATATTTCATCTTTCTTCTTTTTACTATAATGGCTCACATAATCTCTGACACTAACTTGAATGCCCTCTCCCAAATAAAGTAAATTTTCTGCATTCATACCGAAGAAGGAAAAGGTTTGATTTTACCAATATTTCTTTTTCTTAGTGCTCTTTGTTAAGATATATGACTGTAGACAAAGTTATGAAGCTTTGATCATCATATTTAAAAGAAGGTAAAAATAGAAAGGAAAGAAAATAATCATAAAGAACAACAAGAAACGATATAGTACCCCACTCAAAGGGAGCATATGAACTGATGATATCCTTCCATGAGAAATTCCTTGTCTAGGTCCCTCATAATTAAGAGATCGATCCCTCTTTTCTAGATTGAGAAGTGAGCGCATTCTCCCTGTATATTATAAAGAGCATAAAATTAAGAAACCACTTATATTATTGATATAATCATCAACAATTGATACAAACAAAAGTACCTCCTTTCTGTACTTCAACAGAACATACATCGCGGTTCATTTTCTGGCTCCGAGCTTCATCTGGCACAAGACAATTTTAAGCATAAGTAATAAGCCATCAAACAGAACAAAAGACATCCAGATCACAAAGAAAATGGGCTTCCAAGCTCATAGGATTAGATTTTGAAATACAATACAAGCCTGGCAAGAAAAATACAGCAGTTGATGCTCTGTCTTGAAAGGTTCTGTTCTCTGCCATGTGAATTTTACAAACAGAAGAGTGGGAGGATTGGGAACTTGAAATTTAGGAGGACTCTTAATTTGTATGCATTAATGCAAGACTTATTGGTGGATCCTAGAGCACAGACAAACTATAAGCCATGGTAGTGATATCCATATAATAGATCTGTTGGTATTATAAGATTTATATGAGATGTAAGAGAGAAAGCAGGTTCAGAATAATGGGAATTAGGTTAATAGGGCGTGATGATAATTTGTTAGCAAACAAGCCCAAGCACACTAATACAACAAGAATACCAAACCAAATCAAAGAGGGTAATAAATAAGAAAACAATGCCTAATGTTGCTTGTTCAATTAGATATTAATTAATTCCACATTAATTTTTTTATTAACAAAGAATTAAATAAGAAATAAAGGAGAGGCAGAAAAGTGAGGAAAAGAAATTATCAAAAACAAAACACAACAAAAGGAAATAAACAAAAAAATTACAAACACAATACATGTAACACAGCATGTCAATCTTCCTAAAGATATATTCCAATGATCTATTAAGATATTCTATGTATTTTGTAGATATCTAACAAGGTTGTTTGCTTAATCAGGTTCCCATATCATGTCAAACAACGATTTGACCAAAAAGTTTTTGTTAAGGACTAAAAACGATTGCAATGAACAAGTTACATTTAAATAGATTATGACTCAAAACTCACAAGCGTATTGCATAAATATCAATCATTGGAAAATAAGCATAGATGTGTTCTTGTGGCTATAAGATTTGTGTAAAACTTCAAGCCGATTTACTAGCACCAAGCTCTGTGAATTATTGAATATTTGCGAGTTTTGAGACACTTAGCATAGTTTAAGCCTTTCATAGATGTAGGAATACCTTGAGTAGAGCTTACACAAGCAGGGAAATTATTTTTATCTGCAAAACCACTTAATTCACTACCCTTTGAAGCTGCAGATTCAGTTACAGGAGAGAGAGGAGGCTTATCCACATCATCTCTGTTGCTTGGAAATTTACGTATATCTGCTGCCTTTGACTGCAACGGGAATGGCATTGTTCGTCCAGCAACACCAACTTCCTTTCTAGAATCGGCTACAGGCTCTGACCTTATGCTAGTTCTGGGGACAATTACAGGTATAATATCTGATTTATTGAGAAGTGGAACACTGGATGTTGTATGAGATTTCAAAGAACTCCTTTTCTGAGCTGTTGTATTAACCACTGTTGTTGAACCACCAGATACTGTTTTGGGACCTGAGTTCAAATTGATCCTTTGAGGAGTACTTGGTGCACTTCCTGTGGCTTCATACAATCCATAAGTCACATAGTGAGAAAGTAAGAATATTAATTGACAATAGGATCCCAATGGATCAAAACAAGATAAAGATTAAACAAGCAATTCAATCAAAACAAATGCAAAATAAATAAATAAAATAAAAAGAGGAAGGATATATACATGCCGAGCATTTTCCCTCCTTTAAGGGGTCTGAATCTTGAGAAACTGACAGCCTCCCAAGAGATCTTGTTTCCTTCAGTAATGGATCAGGATTTTGAGAAACAGATAGCCTAGCCTTAGCTGTGATCTCATTCAGTACAGTCATATTTCCACTTGAAGATTTAGTTTCTGAATGTCCATTTAGTTGGTTCACATTATTAAGTGCATATGGTTCTATACGCTGGACAAGAGATCAGAAACGTAAAAATGACACTTTAGTATTAAATGGTGTCAAATACAACCATTCCTACGAGCAGCAAAAATTTCTCTGAAAGATAAGTGCATTTACCGAAATGTCCACAACCCAGACCCCAACACAGCTTTGATTGTATGAGCAGCCAAGAAGTTTTCCTTCATGAACATTAAGATCTGACAATCTAGACCAACCCACATCCACCATATCATGGCATCTTATAGGTTCCCAAGAGAAAACCTAAACAGAACCAAGAGGAACATTGTAACCTTGATAAAAGATTACCTCAAATAATCAACTAAAAACAGAGCTTACCTTCAAACTCTCATGTAAACCACAAAGCAGAGTTCTCCCATCAGGACTGAAAGTAAGAGAACGCACTCCAGTTGTCTAAAGTAAAAAAAAATAAACAAAAAAATCCCAAAAAAATCAAAATTAACCTGGCAAATTGATCCTAAATTCATCATTCAGGAGAAAATGGTAAAATTACTGTAACATCAAGTACCTCAGGACCAGCTGAACCAATAAGCTCAAAGGTTTCTAGGTCCCAAAATTTAACTGTTCTATCTGCAGAGCCTACATATAAGAAACAAATGACATAAAAAATTATGCTTGATTCATTCAATTAAAAAGAAAAATACAAACTTCCAAATGAAAACACAAGAATCCACCACTGTATGCGATGTGGTCAACACAAATAAAGTAACATAAACTTGTCAACAACTATTCTTATTTGTTTATTTATTGATAAGAAAATTTCTTAGTGTTAAAACTTAGGGTATCCTTTGTTAAATATTATTATTATATTCAGTAAGAATGTGTAGAAAGTGTGAATTGGATATTTATTTAGGTAAGCCCAATGTGCTGGGCTGATGGTTTCTGTTAGTTAAGGGAGTTTGAGTTAGTGATTTTCCATCAGAAGAGTTTAGAACTCCAACAGAATTTGGCAAAGATGGGCTATAAATAAATAGGAAGAAAAGACTAGGGCTATTCTGTTTAGCTGGAGATTGGTTTAGGAGGGAGAGATATCAGGCTCTTGAAATCCTGAGGAACAACTTGTATTCATCTTCTCTCGTCTCAACCAGGGTTAATCACTGATCCAGGGTTAAGGGAGATATCATCAATAAAATCCTATCTGTTCTTTCATCACTTCTCTGATCTCTGAACCAGTAGTATCTATTAACTGGTATTAGAGCTCCCAGTCCCAAGGAGTCTTTCATGGTGCATACAAGAATGAAAACCAGACCAGAATTCTAGAAGGATCAAAACTTCAATGAAACAGGTGGAACAAAACAGTTAGCAAGCTAGGAGAGACCATTAGCTGTAGGAAATGTGGATGAAGAGGTTGAGAGATATGAGGGAATGGTTATGTCAAAATCCCCATGGAGGAGCGAGCCTGGCAAACCATTAGAGGAATTAATGATATGGGAATTGAACAAGGAGCAAATTCAGGGTCTTGTAATGGGTAAAGATTGGGAGCAAGAACAAAAACAGGGGATTAACAACAGAAGAAAGGTTGCAAGCAGTTATGGTGGCCACTGAGGTCAGTCTTGGTAACAGTAGTGGGAGATTGTATTGCAATTATTCAATGTGCATTAATAAAATGTATTCTGTCATTTTGACTTTCTATCTGTTGAAACGAGAATGTTAGGAAGAAGTTGTGCATTTATACACACTGTCTATTATACTTTGTGTATACAGCAAGGATAGGATTCAGATAGAGTTAATTAAAAACTATTAAATACAGTCATAATTATAATTAATTAATAAGCAATATCTTAAGTTCCAAATACACTATGGAATCTAGAATAATATTCTAATGCTCCCCCTTAATCTAATACTCATTAAGCTTTGCAGCAGAACAGGGCAGAAACATGTAAACCAAGTGGAATGCTGCCCAAAGGAAGAATGATCAAGACAGAGACTGAAGAGAATTGAAAATGGTCCCATGGAGGGAGGGGGTGAGTCACATGCATCTGTTTAGGGGACGGTCAAACAGCAGCATAACATGCCAGGTGTTAGCCAGAGAGAACTTGTGCAGTGGCAGAGCAGCAATGCGTTTGAAGGTAGCATGACAATCAAAGTAATTTGATGACCAAGTCTCATCTCCTAGGGTAACCAAAGATTAACCAGCAGAGAAACCACAAGAATATTGAGGCAAGGTAGGGAAACGACTTCAGAATTAAGGCACTGTTCAGCAGTGGGCACAAGTAATTTGGGTCATGGATGTACCTAAACTACACAATACTAATTACAACCAGAATTATAAGAATAATTAACTACAAAATCATTCAGTTAATTAGGGAAGTCAAATAGCACTCTAATGAGATGCTAACCTTTTAGTTAGTTAGGGCAGCCTGGTGCTGTAAATCTCCTGCTATGTGCAGGTTCCAGGAAGGGTTAGACAAGCACTATTTGACAGTGCACATATATGCATATCTGAGATATTTTCTAACAATTGCAAAAGTGAACACATTTTCAAAGAGAACTACTACTATTGCCAGTCTAGCACCAATTTTGTTATATGTATAGCTGGTTCACAAGCTAAAGAGTTGAACATGTAAAAGCCCAAGCTTGACTCGTTCAACAAACAAACCAAAATACACCACTCATTGAGTTCTTAATGAACTGAGATGAGCTGTTTGCTGGATCACAAGTTGGCTTGCCTCATTTCTATTTTCTAAACCTCAAGCTTATCAAAACAAATTTTTGGAAACCTGTAAGTCATTTTTCGCCTATTTTTATTAGAAATAGATTGGGCTTAGTCCAATCCCAAAAGCTAGCTCAAGGGAAGATGGATTACCCAAGGCTTATATGGACTACTTTACTTTGGTCATATTCCTAATTGGCTTGAGACATCTCAACACACACATTTTATGCTCATGACTAGATATATACAAGTAATCCAACATTGAGACTGGATAGGCTCTATAGTCTATATACCATAACACAACCCCAAAACCTAACTTATAAAGGAGGATTACCCAAGTCTTGGTCTTACTTTAGCCATACTCCTAGTCGATGTGGAGGATCTTAACAATTTTCATAAGCTAGAAATAAAAGCTTACAAAAATAAGTTATTGCAAAAGCTTAAAACAGCATATATTTATAATATTTGTTTTTTCTGTATTACTAATGGATATGCACTCACTTATAATTACAATAAATGTGAACTTAAAAAACAAAGAAACAAAATGAAAATGTCACATTTTTGTAATTATTAATGAAAACATATCAATTGAAAATGAAAACATAAATCAAACTGAAAAAACCTTTGCCCATTAAAGTAGTAATGTACTGTCATGATTTCATTATAAAAGTAAGACTAACCTGTTGCTAGTAGAAACTCATTGGGATGAAAATCTATACACTGGATCTGACCCTCATGACACTTAAAATCATGCAAGAGTTTTCCTGCTGTCAGATCCCACAACTGCAGACATATACATTATATTTACGTCATTTTTTTTGCATATAAAAAACAATAGATTCTCATTTACAAGTGTAGTACAAGCATATAAGCCAATTTATGTTAATAATAATTGGTCAAATATTAAGAAGATAAAACATTGGAGATAATGCACTAAGTCAATGACTGATGAGTCAAGAATTTTACAGGCTTTCATGAAGTCACACTAAAGTAAGTGAAGATTAGATAACGAAGTCCAAAATACTGTGGCAAGGGGATCATCTCTTGTATGTATCTACACACAGACAAGGGGGAAAAAGATATAAAAAGTAATCATTATATGTATACTCAAGAATGCAACTAGGCTGCTCAATCTCTCTACATGTCACTAGGAGCAACTCCTTGAAATAATAGGACAATATGTCCTTTAAAAAGGGTGAAAAAAATATATGAAAGGTAATAATGATAAGTAGACTCAAGATTGCAAGGCTGCCCAATCTCTCTACATGTCACCGGGAGTGGGAGCAACTTCTTGAATCAGCTATAAGCTAACAGCAAAGAGAGGCCAACAAACATAATCCTATACTTAAGCAAGTTTATGGCAAAGGACATCATTCAAAATAAATGCAAGCATTTGCCGCCAACCAAATGCACCAAATGACTGCATAAACAGCACACCCACAAAATTTTAGCTTCCTTACTCTTTCCAAACCCTTATAAATAGCTGTGCAAAGTTGACACTGACTGACACATTTTGTGCTTACCAAGAAAGTCATCTTTCGGATTTTTTGGATTGCAAAAGGTAGAGGACATGATAGGCTTTAATGGGACCATTCTACACACACCCTAGAAAGTGGCCACCTCTAGAAATCTACAACTAAGGTGAAGAAGTGACAGTCCACAATTGACAGCAACAACTGACTTCATTCATGCATCTATAAAGTTGCAGATCCCACCATGAACAATTTAAATTCTTACTTTGTCTTTACTACCATTACTTGTTCTCACTTACTGAGCCAGCATTTCATATTCCAAAAAAAATGGTTATAACAGAAGACACATGAACTTGCTCTTTATTTTTAATGATATCCATCATCATGGATAACTCTTGATGTGTGTTTACATTTCACCCCAGCAATCTTCATTACATCCTCCCCAACATGCACCAGTTTGAAGCACAATTCTTAACTATGGTTATTTGAGACAAAACATGTTAGAGTAAGATGCAATATGGTTCAATAGATAGATTAGTTTCTCCTTTTATAGTTGATATACAATATTTAACAATAAATAAAAACTATTTCATTATTTCTTTGGAAACTGTCATTCAAATTTGAAGGGTGGTTCTGTAAACATGCTGGGTTCCAACAAGCATAAATAATATATAAGTTTAAATTATTTGCAAACTTTGACCATAAATAACCTTGTTATGGAATCTGACTCCACTAATATCATGAAAAATGAAAGCAATTCTAACCTTTACAGTGTTGTCCTCTCCACCTGAAACAACCCAGCGTCCATCGGGGGTAAATCTAATTGCATTTACCCCTCGAGTGTGGCCTTTGTATGTATGGATACAACCCTTCTTTCTGATGTCCCATATCTTAAGATTAGTGTCTAGAGAACCAGATGCAAAGAACTCTCCAAAAGGATGAAAGTCCACTGATGTACAGTTGGACCTATGGCCAGTAAGAGTACGAACAACTACCAAAGAAAAATAACAAGTCAAAGGCTCAATTTATCAGTATGAGCAAAATTTATGGTAAAACCGTAAAAACACCAAATAAGTTTATGAGACTCCTCAGATCTCTTTTCATCAGTGTTTTAAGACCATTAAAGGAAATGGCAAGCAACTGCATACTCTTTGCCTCTTCTAAGTCCCAAAGTTTGATAGTACCACTTGCAGCTCCAGCAGCTACCAACACTTCAGAAGAATCAAAGCTTACGGAATCTATTCCACTTGAATGTCCTGACAGACTCTGCAATATGAGAAACAGCTCTTGCTGAAAATAGATAAACAAATATGCTCTCCTTTCTGTTAAAGAAACACATTCCTATGAACAGAAGTTAAAAAACAAAAAATTATCATTATGTAAGAACAATCATGCATTAAAGAAATAGAAATGATGATGTTATGATGACACATTAAGTATAACTGAACTCAATCCGATGCTACCTTGACAAAAAGTTCGCAAGAAAAACCATCTAAACACCATTTTCCTCATAGTCACCATCTACAAGTTAACTTCAAACAACTCCAAATAATTAAAAGTGAATTTCAAGGCCAACACAAGGGAAAAAAAATGCTATAATCAACCAATGACATGGAATCCTTGTCCAGAGTGAAAATAAGCCAATAATTGTGATGCAATTAAAAAAAGATGAGGAGCAAAGAACAAACCAGAATGGCATTAGGTTTGCCAATAGCCCAAAGATTGACTTTGTGATCTTCACCTCCAGTGACAAGAACCCTGGATGATTTCCGTCCAATCTTCAGGCAATTGACAGTAGAAGAATGTGCTACAAATTCCTCTGGACATAACTCGTCAAGGCCAAGCCAACTAATTGAGGGAAGCAGTAACGAGCATAACTCACACAAAGACTTCAATAAAAGCATGACAAATTGAAGTACGCAAGCGGAGACTAGAGAGATCTACAGATAGAAAATGAGAAACAAGTGTGCAGATCAAACATAATGTTCCAGAGACATGAAGGATACGTAGCTTATACGCGCGTTTGGTAGTCATTGGTATGAATCAAAAACCCTAGCAATTGCAGTTGCGACAGGAACAGCAGCTGTCGATTTGAGACATTCAAGAGATCTAAGTTGGTCCTCTAAGAATCCCAGATCTTCACTTACCTACAGCTGCCCCCGACAAAATGAATGTGTCAGTGAATGATGTTAAAATTTTCAAGTTAGTAAGTGCAGATCAAAATGGAGAAAGAGTGAAACTGAAATGAAACAAAGACGAACCTAACTTTTTATTTTCATTCATGTTCTTATTCCGGTAAAGTGCAGTTGCAGAAGAGATTGCTTCAGAGTTCAGACAACACGATACGAACAAGAAACTCAGAGACATTCACGTTAACCCGCTCTTCTTATAATTGTCACAGATTTAGCGCTCGCGCACAAGCAGTGTGTGACTGTGTTGATAAGCACGAAAAAAATTAGGTGGGAGCGTATTAATGCTAATGCCCCCGAGGCATGGAGCGAATGCTTTAGTTTCCTCTATCAATCCAACAGCACCACAGCGAAGATCTCTGGAACCACAAAGAAGAAGAGAGTAGAGAGGCGCTTTCACGATCTGTGACTGTATGTCCCTCGGTAATGATAATGCTTATGTTCAAATTAACCTGAGAGTGGGAAGGTTCAAAATATTAAAATAAGATAAATGAGAGGAAAATCGGTAAATATGGGAAAGCTATGTTCCACGTTTTTTCCTTTCTACTGCTGCTTTTTAACACTTTCTCGTCCCTCCCTCCCTCCGCAAATCAAAATTGAAAAGACCACGCAACAAAACTCAACTCCTTAGCTTCGTATGGACTCCCTTCACCTTTCTCATCTCTCTACTTACGTGCTTCAACATTCATTTCGTAGTCACTACCACATTTTGATTAAACGAGAGTTTGGAAGATATCATTTAAGTGGAATTTAAGAGTTTTTAATATGTATATCAAAATTTAATAATTTCTATAAATTATTTGATATTATATCAAATAAATTTATATTAATTTATAATATATCTTTTAAACTACAAATAATCAATTATAAAATTATATATTTTACAAATATTTAATTTTTAAAAAAATCACATATAAGATTATAAAGATAATATTATATAATTTAATTGTTAAATTAATAAGATTTAATTTGCTTTAAAATTATTAAATAAGATAAAATAATTAAGACATATTTTTAGAGTAATTGAATCTATTTCTTATATAAATATTAAAGATCATCTGTTAAAAATAACATTTTTTATAGTTTTCTTAAAAAATAAAAAATTTATTATTTCATTTATTTGTTATTAAATTTTTATTTATTTTCCTATTGAGCTTGGGCACGTGAATTTATTCATGTGTGGTTATTTTAGATTAACCTTTTATTATTTTATTTATTTATATATTTTAAAACTTTTATATTCTATATTTTTAAATTTAGTTTTTATATTTTTAGAGTTGCTTTTAAATGTTTAAAAAAAATACAAGTATTGCTAGTAAAATAAAAAATTTTATTATATGTAAATCAAATATATATATATATATATACACATTAATATTTTATTTAAATATTATAGGCTTGATAATGCTAAAAAGAATATAATAACAACAATTATCTTGGTAAAATTTGAAGAAGAATAAGTTTAAAGTTTCCATGATTAAATTTTTTATATTAAGAAATTTTTCTCTTAATAAGTTTAATGGTCATTATCTTGACTAAAGATTCAAAAATTACTTCCAAAAAATCAGTTTAAATAAGTTTTTCTTTGAATCTTTTGGACCATGGTCCAACATTATAGTGACCAATCTCAATTACCAAATTAAAGACATATAAATATGTAACTGAGGCCACGTATGATTAATTTAGAAAGGCTAATATAGTGTGTATAAATACTGTATTACAAATTGAAGAACCTATTGACAAAATGAAAAGAACAAATAAGTAATAAAATTAAAATGAAATATCAAATTTCTGTCCTATCAACTTTTGATGATATGACAATGGCCTATCATAGTGGTAACGGGTGATAAAAAATTATGATTCAATTCAAAGAGGAGCTTGAGAAATGGCTACCTCGATGTTCTCTTCTCATTGGTGATAATGACCAATCATTTGAAGAGTGTAATGATGTTAACAATCTTGAGGCCATACTTGTTGCATAAAATTCCTATTTAACAAGTGTACTAGTGAGAAGCACCTCACACTCATCAATGGTTGGAGACATTGCCAACATTATTGCTCCTCGTGCAGTTCATCGCCCAACTGTCACTTCTATCCCTTGTTTGAAGTGTTCTTTTAATAATATTTTTTTATTATATCCTTACATTCTATCAAAATTTTAAATATTTTATAAATTTATCAAAAAAGATATATAATTAACTTTTACAAATTAAATCAGCAAGCTTTTTACAAGAGCAATATATAGTAGTTTGAATAATTGAATATAAATGTCTATGATCTTTGTTGATTGACTTTAGTAATAATATATTCAATCAAAGAATTTATTATAAGTGTGATTTGGATTCAGTCTCAATGGGTGTGAATTTAGACATAATTTATTTAACTAAATTATGAGAAAGGGATGAAGGACATAAAACAATCCACATTGGTGGTTGAAGATTCGTGGTGCGGTAGAGTGGTAGTTGTTATGTTTGGAGGGACTTCAATGTTCATTTTGAATAAAATCACTTGCGTTTGAAAGCTAATTTTATAAGGATTATAAAGAAATGATTGCATGCAAGGTTTAGAGACTAGAAAAAAAATGAAAATTAGTCTCCCTTGTTACATATATTGTTGTAATTTATCACATTTGTTAGGCATGCAATGTCTGGAATACTTTTCAATTTTATGATAAGTATGGTGAATCAAAATTCCTCAAGAATTAAACTTTAAAATTCACCCACAATCCTCTCTTTCTCTCTAACTCTCTAAGAGCGTAGAAAAGAAAAAATGAAAAAAGATCCTAAAAAATCTGAGTTTAAAGCTATTTATAAGTTTTTCACAAATTTCTAGTGCTGAAGATCCAATGCCTGAAGTAGAATAATGTCAGTTAGAACATATTTTATTGATCACATTGACAACTTTATGACATGGCCGATGATCATGTCGCCCAATTTTAGTGTAGTATTTCCTTTCACGTAAAGTGAATTCCTTTTATGCAAAGATCATCATGTAGTAAGTATTTTAATGAAATGACAAGAACAACGCTAAATGAACTAAACCTTCCTAAGTATTTGTGGGTTGATGCAGTAAGTATTGAATGCTATGTAATGAATAAAGACTTGATAAAACCAATTTGAAAGAAAACTCCCTATGAATTATATAAAGGAAGGAAACTAAACATATTTTATCCTTATATTTTTTGTTGTAAATGTTTTGTTTTGAATAAAGAAATGGATAATTTAGGAAAATTTTATGTTAAATTTGATAAAGGAATATTTCTTTGCTATTCACTACATAATAAAGCATACAGAGTCTATAATAACATAACTATGATTATAAAAGAATCTATACATGTGATTTCTTATTAGTTTAATTTTTTTGGTCAAAGAAATGATATTATTAGTGATGTTGTAGATGTTTTAAAAAATACACATATCAATGACAAAGAAAAAGAATAAAAGAAAGAGGAAGAAAATGAGAAAGAAATGGTATACAAAGAGCAAACAAGGAGAAATGATCTTCCAAAAGAGTGGATGAAAGACTTCAAGACATCATCCACTTGACAATGTGACATGTAATATCTCAAAAGGGATAAAAACTCGAAAAATATGACATTTGTTTATAAAATTGAACCTAAAAATATTGATGAAACTATTATTGATGAGCATTTGATCTTAGCTATGCATGAAAAATTAAATTAATTTGAAAGAAATTAGGTTTAGAAACTTGTGCCAAGGCTAGTGATCATTCTATCATAAAAACCAAATGGATATTTAGGAACAAACTTGATGAAAATGGTGTAATAATAAGAAATAAGGCTAAAATAGTAGCTAAACGATATAAAAAAGAAGAAATAGATTATGAGGAAACATATGTTTCTATTGCTAGACTAGAAACAATTAGAATGTTACTTGCATTGGATTTATAATGAATTTCAAACTTTATCAAATGGATGTAAAAAGTACATTTCTAAATGGTTAAATACAAGAAGTATGTATTGATCAACCTCCCAATTTTCAAAGCTTTGATTTACCCAACCATGTTTTTAAATTGAAAAAGGCTTTTTATGGGTTAAAACAAGTTCTTAGAGCTTGGTATGAGAGGTTGAGTAAAGATTTTTTAGAAATAGTTCTTCAAGAGGAAAAATTGATATTGCACTATTCATTAAAAATAAAGAGCATGATATTTTCTTAGCATAAATATATACAAATGATATTATCTTTGGTGCCACTAATGATTCCTTGTGTTAAGAATTTTTTAAGATAATGCAAAGTGAATTTAAGATGTCCATGATGGGAGAACTTAATTTCTCCTTTGGACTTCAAATCAAGCAAGCAAAAAATAAAATATTTAAAAATCAATCACAATATTGCAAGAAGTTACTCAAAAAGTTTAGGATGAAAAACACAAAGGAAATATCTACACTCATTAGCACTTCATGCTACTTGGATAAAGATGATGAAGGTAAGCTTGTAGAAGTGACAAAGTACAGATATATAATTAGTTCTCTTCTTTATGTAACTGCTAGTAGGCTAGATATAATGTTTATTGTATGCATGTATGCTAGATATCAAGGTAATCCTAAAGAATCACATCTTAGTGATGTGAAAAGGATAATGAGATATTTACTAAGAACAATTATGTAGGATTATGATACCCTAAAGGAACCTCTTGCAACTTAATAGATTACTTTGATTCAGACTTTGCTAGTTGTAAAATGGATAGGAAAAACACTAGTGGAACATGTCAATTAATTGGTACTGCTTTAGTCTTTTGGCATGGCAAGAAACAAAATAGTGTGACATTGTCTATTGCTGAAGCAAAATATATAGCATTTAAAAGTTGTTGTGCCCAAATTCCTTGGATGAAATAATAACTTTGAGACTATGGATTGCACCTTGACTAGATTTCTATAAGATGTGATAATACAAGTGCAATCAATCTATTTAAAAATTCAATTTTGTACTCTAGAACCAAAACACATTGAAATTAGACATCATTTCCTAGGGGTTTGTGTGCAAAAAGGTGGTTACATTTTAGAATTTGTGAAAACAAATAAATAACTAGTAGACATATTTACTAAATCTTGACCTAGGGAAAATTTCTTTAACATTAGAAGAGATTCGGGTATAATTGATTCCTCACTTTATGATTTTTCTTTATTTCATTAGATTTGATTTGTTAAATATTTAAAATACATTTATCTCTTGTCTAAATTACTAACTTGTGTCAAAGTTTCCCCTAAATCTATTTTGCAGGTACTCCATTACTTGTCAAGTCCCCCCAAATATCAAGTACACATAAACAAGAGTTGAAGTTGATGCCTATCCTAAGATTGTGTTTTTGTTTATCACATTTTTCTCTCTATGCAAATTCCACCTCTTTCTACTTCTCTCTTTGATTTCTTTATCATCTCTGAACCAAATTCTTTCATTCCACTTTCCAATTCTTTATTTCCTGATTTTCTGCAAAAGCCACCATCATCATCTGCTTTGCCACCCAACAATCATACAATGTTTTCTTATAGTTTCTTGATCATTTCTCAAATTTAGTCCAAGAATAGAGGTACTTTGAGCATTACAAATCTCAATATATTATTGAGCCTAAGTATTTGGATTTAGGATTCTTTGAAGGAAAGAACTTTGAATGTTATGCAACTTTTAAATCCCTAGGGTTTGTAAAGTTCATGAGTTTAAGGAAGCAAATTTATTTTAATCTAGTAAAAATGGTTTATTCAAATTTAAAGATTAGAGATAATTGCATAATCTTTGAAGTGAAGAAAATTCCTATATATTTTTTAAATATATATTTTTTCTATCTTTTTTTAAAATAATTTATATATTAGAATATAGTATAATGTAAATGAATAAGTTATTTAATGTTTTTGTTAATACATTATAGAAAAAAGTATTATTTATTTTATAAATAGAAAAGGAAGAGAGGACACAAGTCTCTTATATGTTTTAAACTTGTCATTTTTGTTAAAAAAAATAGTTAAAAAATGTTTTTTTATTCTACTTTTGATAATTTTTTTCTCCTTTTTCCTGGTGTCTAGAGTTTTATTTTTTCTTGCATAACTCATCACCTAATTTATTGAGATGTAAAAATAAATTAGACTATACCTTGACATTTGAAATGAGAAACTTTTTAGACTATATGTTTAGAAACCCTTAAATATTTTTGAATTATTGTGACACGTCTCATAACTTAATTCTTCAATACTCAATTTGAATCATTAAAGGGAGGTAAGAGATAAGAGATAGAGACATATTGCATCAACATTTTGGGATTTTTCAAAAGAATTTATTTTTCTTTTTAACCCACTCAAGGCTTACAAAAAAATGATTAGGCTTTAATATGTGAACTTTAAAGCATATATAGTATTTACTTGCATCAAAGGTACAACACTATCAATTTATCGTATCACACAAATTATTACATGTATCATATAAGTAAAACACATGTTACCATGAGCAAAACAACCAAAGGCATAAAGCATTTCTCCAATATGATTTTAAAGAATAATAAGTTGTTATAAAATATTACACTAAATATGCTATTGCCTTAACTAAATGCTCCACACTATCAAATAAAATTTTTAAAAATAGAATAAAAAGAGTTATGGACAAAAATATTTCCAAACAAAAGAAACAAAGCTATAATTAAATAAACTTGTTTAAAGTATAACTTAGACAAGAAAAAGGACAAATGAAAGAGAAAAAAAATTGCTAATTCTATTTTATGCTATCTTTCTCGCCATCCCCTAATAAGGCTCTCAAACAATAGCTTAGTGCCTTTTAGCCACCTCTCCTCTAAGTCAACATATTTGATATTTAATGTTAACTTCTTAATGACTTAAGTAACAATAATAACATTGTTACATCTTTGGGTTGTATTATCAAAAAGGCCTTTTCAATGGCTTATTGAAGTTTAACCAAAGAAGATGTTTTTCTAAGTTTAGTTTTGGGACTTAACATCTTCAAAGGCAGAGAGAACCTTTTCAAATTAGTGAGTGGGGTCTTGTTCTCACACTCAAATTTTGAACATTGGTCGAGATAGAGGAAAGGTGGTAGAGATTGATGACATACTCTTGAATATGCCTTAGTAGAGAAACAACACATATAGGCTTGAACTAGATACATTAGGTAATCAAGCCTTGAAAATCAAAGTCTTGAATGGTCTCACGATCCTATGAAGAATAAACCATGTTAGGAGGAGGAGCAAGAACTTTGTATCAAATAGAAGGAACTTTACCACTTAATTAACTTGATCTATATTAACTAGGCTAAAGGTACCATCTAAAAAAAATAAAATGAAAGGTTGGACATAAGTAACCTCCTTTAGCCTATGTGTTTCCCTTGCTAAAGCATCACATTCTCCATCATCACTCATCAAGGATTAGAGGTGGAAAAATGGATTATTGAACTTGCATTTGGTTGCGCTGACAAATTTTGTTTCTTATTTGATTTTGAAATAAAGGTTTAAGGTTAAACTTAAATTCACATTTTACACTTAAATAGATTGAGTTGACTGAAATCATATTAAAAAAAAAAGGCGTAAACAAATTAAATAAAAAGACTCAAACTTAATTCAAGCTTAAAATTTAAAGTTTAAGTCGTAAAATTTTTTTGGCTTGAATGGATGGTTTATGCTTACTTTAATATGAATTACTTAAGTGAGTCCTTAAACCAATAAGTTAGCAAGAGAGTTGGAGGATTGACAACAATAACCTTGCACATTTTCTTTATTTTTTGCATATTTTTATATAAGTAACTATATTGCGATCAATTTTCTTTTAAAAAAAACAAAAAAAATAAAATTAAGAGTCAAGTTGAAAGATGAAAGAAGAGAATTTACTTGCCCTAAGAACTAAAAAGTTCTAATTCCATAATTTAATATTATCTCGCATTAGATAAGGCCCGATACCTTAATCCAATCCTTGAGAGCCAAACTTTTCTTTCTAACATATTGGAGAAGGTTCTCTTTAAGTGTTTTTTTACGAGTTAAGTAAACTTGACCAAATTAACCAAAGTAACCCAAACTAAAATTGATAAGTCGAGTTAGGTGATCAAGACCTGATGTTATAAATTGATAATTTTTTAGTTAGGTATATGATCTTTTTTATTGCAACCCTATGACATGACCCAATCTAATTATATAAAATAATTAAAATATTTTACAATATTTACATTGTAATATTTTAATGTGTATTTTTAAATATAAATTTTATAAGTAATTTATTATTTAAGTATAAATTAATATTTTTATATGTAAAATGTTGATATTTTTTAATTTAATTTTATAAAATACAATTTTTGTTATTTATTTAACTATTATCTAATACAATTTGTTCATGATTAGGTTGAATTAGCTTGAGTTATGTATAAAAAAATAAAAATTGACCCAACTTAACTTTGTCGAGTAACATTTCTTTATAAAACTTAACTTAACACAATTCATGAATGTCTTTAATTCTCTTTTATCATATTTTGAATAGAGGTAAAATATTTAATTAAAATAATTTTAATTTTAATATAACTAGACTATAAAAATTTATTTCTCAAATAATTAGAAGAGATAAAAAGTCTTAATAAGATAAATTTTAAAATATTCATGTTTAAATTCTAATATAAGTCATCAAAAGAGATTGATGACGTTTTTGTAAACTTTATATTGAAGTGTAATTTATTCATATTTATCTTTTTTTTAGCAAGACACAACATCATTTTAAAAATAATAAAAAATAAGTTTTGAAAGTATAATTCTTTAAGGATTATGAAAAAATAACTTTAAATTATTAAATAACACTCATTTAAAATTTGTTGAAGATATACAATGCAAGAAAATACAACATCATATATAGTTTGGATATGAATTATCTTCAACTTTTAATCAAAATAAGTTATTGTTATTTTGTAATATAATTTCATTTATATAATTATATGCTAATATTATTCACATAATATTTATATTATATTATTATTATTATTTATTTAAAATATTATAGAATTTTAATAAATTATTATTATTTTTACATCAATACTCAAATTAATTTTTTAATAATTTTAGAATAACTTATATAAAATAAATTTGACTACGATAATATATAAATATTAATATTATGTGACACCGCATATTAGTCTTAATAGAAATTTTAATCACGTTTAACAATTCGAAATTAATTTTAATTAAATTAATTTGACTAAATTAATACATCATCACTGCGGTTGAGTTTGAGCTGGTACAGTGGCAGGTGTTGTGTTTGTTCGGGATTGAATGTATACAATTAAAAAAAGGAAGTAAAAAATGTTGTCACAACTCGCAACACACCCCACACCCCTATGACGGCAAAGGAAAGTGGCGAGTCCGTTGAGGTTGAGGGATCCTGAGCGTCCACTGCAGTCTACAGTTCGAGGTGGAAGGAACTTTTTGGAGCTGTTGTCAACGAAGAAGCGAAGAGCTTAGGAATCCTGTGTTCGATCACTGGTTTGGTTTACTTCCCTATCTCTCTCTCTTTTCCTCTTCGTGGCGCCTTCATCCTTCTTTCTTTTCTCCAATTATTATTGTAGATTTACTTCATATCACCTAACGAAGTATCGCACTAAAAAATAGAGCTGATTGGGGCTGCCGAATTATAATTTTCTCTCTCAAAACTGATGATGCAGACGGAGCAATTTGATTGGTTATAGATCCAATATCGATTCGCGATCTGAACTGCAGAGTGACAAATAAAAACCCTATTCTCTAATTCTCCACCGTTATCGGGGAATTTGTCCTTCACTGGACAGAAGGTGGCTCAGCCCTTGCATCATGCGCTTGGGCATGTTAGGTTCTCCTTGCGTGTTTGTAAGATTGATGTTAGTATGAGAGATATGCACCGAAATTCTACTGGTAGTACTAATAACAACACTACTAATACTAACAATAAGATATCGTCGGCACTGAGGCTGTCCGCACCTCAACAATCTCTAAGACGCTTGGGATTGTGTTCCCAGATTGCAACAGGGGAGCACTCGTCCCCTATTGTGTTCCCCGAAAAACGTGGCAAAGTGAAAGGTTCCAGGAAGAGCAGTGTCCCCACTACCATTCGTCCAGATGATCAGGATATAACCAAGAATTTTGAGCATAGGATTGACATTGGAGGAGGTGGAGGAGGAGACGAGAAGTCTGATTTGTTAGGATATGTGGTATTCTCAGGAAAACTGGTTTTGGATAAGAGAAAATTTGCAATAAATAATAATGGTGATTCTCAACAAATTTCTTCGGATATTAGCAACCAAGAAGCTGTAGATGCCAAACTAACAAGCAAGGCTTTAGTTTGGGGCTCCCAAGTGCTGCACCTTGACGATGTTATCTCGGTAATACATTGCTTTTATTTCCGGGATGGTTGAATACTTTTGTGTTAGGTGCTACGAAAACCAAAAAATAAAAATAAAAATGACTAATTAGTTTTAGTCCGTGTTCTAAGCAGGTTTCTTATAATGCTGGTCTCAGACATTTCACAGTGCATTCTTACCCGTTGAAAAAGGCTTCATGTGGTCTTTCTTGTTTTATAAAATCTCGACGAACTCACAAGGACTTTCGCTTTGTGGCTTCTAGTGTAGAAGAAGCACTTCAATGGGTTGGCGGATTTGCAGATCAACAGTGTTTCGTGAATTGTCTTCCCCACCCTTTACAGTCTTCGAAGAAGCAAGCATCCTCAGAATTAATTCATACGGATACCCCTCCTGAATTACTCTTTAGATGTAAAACTCCACCTAAGATGCTTGTAATTTTAAACCCACGATCAGGTCGGGGTCGTTCAAGTAAAATGTTCCATGGCATTGTGGAACCGATATTTACGGTATGCTATACTCTCTTTGCTGGATTGTGTAAGCTGCATATGCTTGTTACTGGTATCTTCAAATTTGGCAATGAAATTTGTAAGATTTACTGCATAAAACAGCAGGACATTCTGCAAGACTGATAATTATACTAATATCTATAACATATGGCTCTTTCATATTATTACTATTATGTCATTGCACCTTTGATTCCAATATTTCAACCATTATAGTAGAAGTACTTGCATTATTAAATATATAACTTGCAATAGGCAGGAAAGAGCACGCAGCATATGGAATTCTTACTTATATGTATGACATGTACTGTGACAGCTTGCTGGGTTTAGATTGGAGGTAGTCAAAACAACGTCTGCTGGTCATGCTAGAAATCTTGCATCAAGTGTAGACATCAGCACTTGCCCTGATGGTAAAATTATTGTTCTATAGTCTGAGCAAGTGTTAATTGTTGTTTTGTATTTTTACTTTTTAAATGTTTCTAGATATGTAGACCACTTTTATATTCTTTAAATTGGTGTTTCTTTCAGGAATTATATGTGTTGGTGGTGATGGGATAATCAATGAGGTCAGTACACTATTTTAATTATTCAGTGGCTTTTTTTCTGTGTACTGGTTTGTTGATGAAAATACTGTCCTATTTGTGTGTTTTGCTTCTATTACCTCCTAAATGCCTTTCGTATGTTGTCTGTGATTGGATCATAAGCGATCTTGGACTAATTGAAAAATATCCGTTACCTTTGTTTTTATTTCAACACTGAAACTACTATATGTATCTCTTCTTTTGAACTGATGTCAGATCAGTGGGGTCTAGTATACAAGGAGGAGTACTGCCCTTTTGTACTTTGAAGTTGAACACACACATGCACACGTGCTCACACATCACTAATAACAGGCAAGTTATATGATATGGTTGATTTGTAGGTTCTTAATGGTCTCCTTAGTAGAGACAATCAAAAGGAAGGAATATCTATACCTATTGGAATTATACCGGCTGGTTCTGATAACTCACTGGTATGGACTGTTCTTGGAGTTAGAGATCCAGTTTCTGCAGCAATGGCCATTGTAAAGGTAGCAGACTAGCAGCATTCTTTCTTTTTTCTCTTCTCAAATAAGTGATGGACATGCAATTAATTCAACTTTTATATTTGGTATAGGCATTGATAACTTTGAAACTATATATATCCATGTTCTAGACATTAGCCATTTTCTTTTTGTATATTAATATTCTTCCTATTTTTGACACTATTTGTCTGTCTCTTCTGAGATCAAAATTCAGTTTTTTTTAAAAGTCTATTTTTTTTTAATTGATGTGCTGGGGTTTCTGTATTTAGATAGATCCACTTTAGCATCATCTACTTACAAAATAATATTCTAGACATAGTCAGACAGGAAAGCAGAAATAAATATTTGAACTGGGACCTTCTTTGTGACTCCTGTGCCCTAAAATGGACATGGTCCCTTTTCTCTGTGTGTAATGGAAACCAAGATATTACTGTGTTAGTCAATAGAAAACTATAGCAGAATTATACCAAAATGGCCAATTCCCTACCCAGAGTATAGATTCTACAGAGGAAAAATCTCTTCCCAAGCTAGAGCTGAAAAGATGCTAAAATAAAATGATGTCCTTCTCTCTCTTCCCCTTCATTCCTATCTAACTAACATGCTTTTCCCCCTCCTACGATCATTCATGCAAAACAGAAAAAATCATAACAAACTCAATCAATACAATCTCACTAGCCACATGTCTCAGATTTTGTTCCTTCTGGTGTACACCTTTGGGGAACACAGTGTGTGTAGAGGGAGTATTGTCCTTCTTCCAGTACAACCTTGTATAAAGAATACCTTCCAAATTTTGATGCAAGCTCATCAAGGTCTGAGGAGATTCTCAATATTTACTTTTATTAGGAGTATACCTTAATGCTCCGGGAAGAAAATTTTGCTTTTTTTGGTCTAGTGCATCTCATTGTTTGCTCTTAAGTAAACATGAGTTGTGTAGTGAATGAATTAAATGTCAACGAGTGTCATCTTTTACTTTTTTGGTTAAATAGGTGAACATCTTTTCGTTTTATTGGTTTGTATGTCACTTCTATTTTCCAAGTCAACAATTGTGTAGATTTCTTGTATAATACCTAATAAACCCTTGTTACTTTATATACTAATCCTGCTTTTTGGTTCAGGGTGGTCTTACTGCTACAGATGTCTTTGCTGTAGAATGGATTCAGACTAATAAAATTCACTTTGGATTAACAGTCTCATATTATGGTTTTGTTAGTGATGGTAAGTTAATGCAGGGTATAAAATTCTTGATTCACATTTGTGTATTGTTGATTGACTATCCATCTCTTATTACTTAAGGCAAAAATTATAGGATTAAAAAAGGGAAACTTCTTGTTTATATTACATTGTGCCTTCCCTTGTTTCTTGTTGCTACATTTCCTTAGCAACTGTGTTTTAGCTCTTAGCTCCATATTTTGCTGACTGTGTCTGACTTAAGAATTTTTGGCCATAATTAACCTTAAGGTTGAATTGTTTAGTAACCATCTGAAAAGCTTAAGCAATTTGGTGGAGGCTCATGTATAATTTTTATCTCTAACACAGCACTCACACTAGAGCCCTTTGGGCTTGAAGCATAAACAATGCACAGGCACACCTCACCATGTGTTGAATTCAACTATTTTTTAAGAAAAATGGGAGCAGCAAGGATTTTATTCTTGACCTATTAGTCATCATACTCATAGAGGCTTTAACACCATTTTAGGAACCAACCGTTCCATGTGAAGGCTCCTGAGTGAATGGTTCTTATGTCTACCATTTAGGATAAAAGATGTCTCTTGTCTAATTAAGTGAAGAATATTTAGTTACAGCCTTATCTCTTTAAGAGCTAATAGGAGCTTTAGGCAATTGATAGGATAGCTGATAGTTATACAAGCTCGTGCAATACACATTGACATGGATGGGGACCGGAGAAATTAAGGGCTAGGTCTGTTAGGAAGAATGGAGGGGTTCAGTGCTGCGTTTCAGGTGTCTTTCTTCATTGATTGTCCATTATTGATCACTTTTTCATTTGGAAGCTTGTAACCTTTATGATAATTAAACAATGGGTACTTGGTTTGTGGTAACTGAAAAATCTGAGAAAAAAATAAGAATGAGAAAAGAAAAGAAAAAGCTTGGGGAAAATAAAACCTTTGTTTAGCATTTGAAGGTAATTAATCAATGCAATGTCATAATCATTAAGGCTCAGTTTTGAATGAGCATTAAGTGTTTTGTTTATTTTTCACATTTCAGTATTGGAACTTTCTGAAAAATATCAGAAGCGCTTTGGCCCATTGAGGTATTTTGTTGCTGGATTCCTCAAGTTCTTGTGCTTACCGCGCTACAGCTATGAAGTTGAATATCTTCCAGCATCAAAAACTGAGAGAGAAGGAAAGCTTTCTAGTGAAAAGGAAGTAGTCGACATGTCAGATCTGTATACTGACATCATGAGCAGATCAAATAAGGATGGAATGCCCAGAGCATCTAGTCTTTCAAGTATTGACTCAATAATGACTCCAAGTCGAATATCTGGTGGAGACCTGGATACTTGTAGTAGTACCCATGCTAGTGCTGAACCTTCTGAATTGGTGCGTGGCTTAGATCCTAAGTCCAAACGCTTATCATCTGGAAGGGGCAATGTAACAGCAGAGCCAGAAGTCATCCATCCACAGCTGCCTCTATCAACAACTCCAAACTGGCCCAGAACCAGATCTAAGTCAAGGAATGATAAAGGATGGACTGGATTAACCACTACACATGATACTTCTAGATGGGGAAATACAGCAACATGTGATAGAGAGGATATATCATCAACACTGTCTGATCCAGGTCCTATATGGGATGCTGAACCAAAATGGGATGCTGAGCCTAATTGGGATGTGGAAAACCCAATTGAGTTGCCGGGGCCACCAGATGATACAGAAATAGGATCCACAAAGGAGGTTGTACCTCGTTTTGGAGATAAATGGGTTGTGTCAAAGGGACAGTTTCTTGGCATTCTAGTTTGCAACCACGCATGTAGAACTGTTCAGAGCTCTCAGGTTGTTGCTCCCAAAGCCGAGCATGATGATAACACACTAGATCTGCTCTTGGTTCATGGGAGTGGACGGCTGAGGTTGTTGAGATTTTTCTTACTTCTACAAATGGGTAGACATCTTTCACTGCCATATGTTGAATATGTCAAGGTATTTGCATTAATAGTTGTTTTACTCCCAAGAATTTTTAATGAAACTCTGTCACACTACATTAACTATTACAATTATGCACCACATTGTGATGACTACATTGGTAAAACCACCTTTAAATGATGTAACTGTCTATATTCCAAATCCAATATTTTCCCATCCTTTTTGGATGATTATAACTGACAATTTTGATTAGTTTTAAACTGTGTATTATGTGTAGTTGAATTTGTTTGAGTAATAACTTGGTTGCCATATCCGGTTATGTTATTTAGTTTGTGGAAGCTACACATTCTCTTTTATCCTGGTAATTTGTGCTTCTGTATCTGTTCAAATTGTATAAATGCTGTGTCCCTTTGGATGTAGGTAAAGTCTGTGAGGATAAAGCCTGGTAAACACACACACAACGGATGTGGTATTGATGGTGAGCTTTTCCCACTCAATGGACAAGTAATTTCTTCTTTGCTTCCCGAACAGTGCAGGCTTATTGGTCGCTTTCGTATATGATGACTGTGAGTTATTTTCAATTCTTTGATGGGTTCTGGGAAGCTCATGTACCTCAATATATAAATCCAGATACCCAATTTGTCTTGCAAGTTCCTTATCGCTGTAACAGCTGAGCTTTGTAAATGTTTTGTTCCGGTTATATGTATCTGTTGTTGCTTGCTTATTGTCTTCTCTATTTTGTATTCATAAAAAAAAAAAAAAAACAAAACAAAAAAAAACTGCACATTCGTGCATTTCTTGCAACAAGAAGTTTCCTCTAATTGGTGAATTGATTCTCTTATTCTAAAGCCTTAAATTGTGATCCTGTTCCTCGATATCTGATTATCATGTTTCGTCTCTCATCATCCATTTACAGTTTTGCACTACATGGTGTTAAAGTCGAGATGTTGTAGGGTCTGCATTCCAAGTTTATACTAAGTCTCATCTTATTCAAAATCCATATTAGAAGCTAGAGTTAAAAGAAATCACTTGAAATGATCGACCATTTAGAAATAAAACTATTCAGCATCAACCGACGCTGAACGAGGCAGGTAAAGTAATAACTAGTAAAAAGCGTGGTAACAAACTTGTAGAGCACTGAAGGGGAGCAAAACGGGGGCAGAGTAGGAATTTTGTTCTTTCAAAGATTAAAAATGCACAACAAATAAGAGCATTATAGTAGTGCATAACAGCTATACAGAAGAGGATCAAGCGCACGCACACTACTTAGAAATCTCATAAACTCTTAATATAATAAAAATTAAGAAAAGACTACTCCGTGGACTAAAAATCCAATAACAATAAAAACGGTTTATTAGTTTTCATTTCTTCTTCTAGATTAATACAAAGCTTACCAACAAGCTAGATTAGTAAGGGCCAAAAACATTAACTAGAGAAGTAGCTTGAATTATCATTTATTAACAAAAGGGTATTGTTATTGCTTTCAAAAAAGTTCGAATAAGTTTTTTTTTCTAAGAATGGAATGGTACTTAATTATTCACTAATTGCGACACAAAGTAAAAATTTATTTAACTAGCCAGGAAGAATCAAAATTGAGTCTGATGATAGCAAGATAGAGTAACCTACTTTTTAATAGATTATCAAACTTCAACTACATTGAGGTAGTGTTCTACTAAAAAGCTAGAAGCTCACCTAATTATTTTGTGCTAGTTCCTTTAAACCATGTCTCGTAGTTATGTCACCTTTAAGCACTTGGAATTGACCAAAAGGGAAGTTTCTAAGTATCTAGTGCAACCCTAAATAGACATTAATGTTCCATAACTCCATTTTAATGTTAATAATGGTTACTCTATAGATGATAGAGCATAAAAGAGGTCTACTTTATATTCTTGGAGAGGATTAAAGCCAAGATTAAGCAAATTTTCTCCGCTAATCATCTTTTTATTTGTTCAAAAGACTAATTACTGGTGCCATTTATTGATTACCTTTTTTTTTAAAATTCTACTATCAACAGGCAATGGAAGAGAGAATTTTAAATCACTATCATATGTTAAAAAATTAGGATGCTGTAAACTATCTTGAGGGATATTGCAAAATTCCATTAAAAAGTCTCATCAAATTTTTAGAAAAAAGATTAAACAAATAATTATTTATAGTAAAATCAGAATAACACTGAATAATTGTGTGATGTTATAATGATGTGATGTGAGATATTATCTTAATTATATTCAAACTAAAATTTTTGATAAAATATTACTATAAACACAACTATTTAAAGTTCACTTCAAGCTTATTTCATTAATATTCTTCATATAGACTATACATAGGAATGTTTAACTCTCTCCATTCACTAGACTTTGTTATAAATAAATATGGTAAAACTGAAAAAAAAAAAACACACAGTGTTTTGAATTTAGAAAAAAAAAATGTAATTTAGCATCTTAAAATTTGAGGTTTGTGTGACTTAATTCTTAAGCCTTTTTTTTTATTGTAACGAAAAAAAAATCCAAAATTAACTCCTAAACTTTTTTTTTCTCATATTTAACAAAGTAAATTATGTGACGAATGGGTGACATTTTTAATCTCAAAATTGTTCCTGGAAAAATATTTTCTCCTTCAAATTAGTATTTCAGTTTTTGTTTCATGATAAAAGGCATGACTCTGAATATCTTCCTCTCTTGTAAGATTTCTACAACTAGAATTGCTCCCTAATTAGTCTCAACACAAATTTCCATACATTAAAAAGAGAAAAAACCATTGAAATAAAAAAATGACGTTTTTATATTATTTTTTATTCCTTATATTATTACATTTATTTAAGAAAAATTAGATAGCGTATTTTTTATACTTTCAACAAAAATGTCGTATTTTTATTATTTAAGAAATTATATAAATGATGTAATTAAATTAAAATTTTATTCAATTAGTTTACTTACCCATTAAAATATCTATAATGGGTAAAATAATTTTCCTTAGACGCTCCAGCCGAAAATGTAGAAAATAATTTCTCCAAAAATAGAAGATCTTTAATTTAAACTGGGAGAGTGTGTCTCTGATAAGTACAAAACAAAGGGAGACGTTAAGAAATGTCCGAAAAAATGAAAGGAAGATTAAGAATAACGACAAAATGTAAAAAAGGGATGGATATGGATATTGTAGGTGTGTTGCAGAATGGCTCACGTGTCCTATTGGACTGAAAACATAACTAGATAATTATTTTATCATGTATACAATACTGAAAATTATTTATCTTGTTAAAATTTTGGGAGGTTAAGCTAAGCGGAGAAGCAGAAAGCAGAAATAATTTCGCATGAGAATGAGCAGCAGCGGCACTAGTGCGAGTGCCCTAAGGCTAAGGGCGGCTATGGTGGGGTCGATGGTGAGTGTCTCTCGGAATTGCTCAACGATGATGATTATGACGAGGACGATGATGCCTTCTCCTTCTTCTTCTTCTTCTTCTTCTTCTTGTTCAACAAGCGGAGCACCCAAACGGAAAAGCGTTGTTGTTAGGTGTGAGGTCGCTAATGCCTTGGAAGAGTCTTCATTGTCCACCTCATCAGAGAAGATTGGAGCCCGGGTGAAGGTGAAGGTCCCTGTGAAGGTTTACCACATCCCCAAAGTTGCCGAGTTTGACCTTACCGGTATGGAAGGTCAGATCAAGCAGTACGTTGGCGTCTGGAACGGTAAGCGCATCTCCGCGAATCTTCCTTTCAAGGTTGAGTTTGTGACCGAAATCCAAGGTCGCGGTCCTGTCAAGTTCTTTGCCCACCTCAAGGAAGATGAATTTGACTATCTTCATGAATGACCGTCCATGTCTCCCTCATTATTATGCCACTAAATAATCCATCATTGTGTATGTAATCCACCTTCATTAACTTCTCTTCATATTTTTGCAATTATCTTTTTACTCAATCATCATATCCTCTCAGCCGAGAGGGTTTATTTATATATATATATAATCCATCATTGTTCTCAATATTGTCTTTCCCCTCTCTCTTTCTGAATCAAGCTGTTAGTGCAACGAGTACAATATCAACTTTGTGCAGGGCGTGAAACGAATTCCTTCCTTCTCCGAGGCAACTTTATATTGCTTTTGGATAGCAACTTCCTTCGCGGTAGGCGGTGAAGGGAGCAGAATGAGGATAAAATATGCTTTTCCCCTTTCCATTTCGTTGGATGCAACTTTAGATTGTTCAATAAATTCAATAAGGAGGGTTTGTTAGATCATTTCAAAATCTTCTTATATTCTCTCTCTCTATCTCTCTATTCCTTGTAACTTCAGTAAGGTTTCTTTTAACTCTTTCCTTTTCCTTTTGTTACCATCCAACATTCATACATACTTTTGGATGGAGAAGAGAGAGGAAGAAATTAAAGAAAAAGAAAGGACATAAAGAGAATTGAGAGAACTGATTTTGTAATATGCACAAAAAGTGAACAAGGGGTATGAGTTTCTCATTTTCTTCCAATTCATTTGATTTGATAAACTCCTAAACGAGCAAGGTCTACACAAAACCTTAAATTCCCCTCCATTCTTCTCCGTCTAAACACACCCTTAAAGCATATTTATATTGTATTCCATTAAGACTATTCTATGTATTGGTTCTGTTTTTTTAAATCTTCACCATTTCATCTAAATATCAGACTCAAGCAATTAAAATAATGTTTTGTGTCTGCATATTGCTGTCACATAGGAGATATGCTATCACTGTTGGAAGCTATCAATATTGAAAGCAGATAGGCTAAATGAATAATATGAATGCATCGGTCATTCCAACACTTGTGTAGACACTTCTGTTACTGCTAGTTTAAATAGTTCTTTCAAATCTTAACACTTTCATCTTCTCCTCACTTAAGATGTTTAGATTACACCATATGATAATCAATCTCTTTATTTTGGCAATGAATGTACTTGGATGATTTGAGGTATAGCTCAATCATTCTAACATTCTTGTAGGGGTCTGTTTATTTGATAGAAGCAATAACATCCTTCGTCAAATCTGTCTTTTAAACCTATGATTTGCAATATTTGATTGTGAAGGCTGGACTCTGGTGTTTTGTGCACTTTCATATCTGTCTGTTGCATGCATGATGCATCATCTCTATTCTCTACAATATTGATTATTGAATGAGGCAAATATTTTGGTTCTATTATTATGTAGTTATATAATTTCATCTAGCAGTTGAAGCATATATTAGTATTTCTCTTTTAATATTTGTGGTTTTTAAATTTCATATCTATTGTTCTATGCTAACATTGTATAGTCTGGTATTGAATAAATTATGAGAGGGCTACCTCTTTTACTTATACTGACAGGCTAGTAGCTTTCCCAGTCCCAGGCATTTCTTGCTGATATCTAAAGTATATTGCTTGTCCATTTAACACGAAATATGAATAGATTTAATTAGTTGAATTATTATAATAAAGGCTTATTTTTGTTTGTAGAAATGAATACTCTATCTCTTATATCTCTCTTTATCTCAATTTCTTACCGCGTAAATATTTGCGAGTAGTTTGGCTTTGTCACCATTATCCTGGCCCAATACTTTCACAATGTCATGTTGTCCCTTTCTTTCTGCAGGTTTTCGGGTATGATTATTGAATGTGTTTGTATGTTAAGTTGTGTATGATGAATTATTCTCCCAAGTAGTGTCATATTGCTTGCATTGTTATTGATATAGAATACTCAACTATTAGCACTTCAATTAATGACTAGTTTACTTGTTTAATACCATAATAAATAATTGATATTTTAAAATCTTAAGTTCATTTGGGCAGATGTCACCAATCTGAACTGCAAGCTGGGTTGAAATGACTGTTTTCATTGTAATCGACCAGCTATAATATGTGTGTGTGGTTTTGCATTTTCTTGCCTTGGATGCGCGATATTTCTAACCTAAACAGTATGCTCATGATAATAAATTAATAAATGTTAAAATTTTATTGAAAATTTTAGTATTTAACAGTGTCAATGCATTGAATGAATTTGTTTCGAAAGTGAAAAAAAAAATATTAACTTTAACAACATTTCGCGTTAGATTATGTCGATTATATAAATCAAATGACAATATTTAATCGTAAATTATTTCATAAATAAACTATTGAACTCTAAATCATTCTTAATCATTTTATGTAGTTTGTCGCTCTGCCTATAACAATTAAGTTTTGTAGTCTTCACCTCAAGATAGAAATGCGTTCTTTTTTCCATAAGGAGATCTAAGGAGCTGTCTTAAAAATGGACTTTGTTCAATTCTTGTTTTTACTTTTAATTATAAATCTGTAACTTCATTTTTATCATGTTCCTTTTATTTTCAAATACTTTTAATTATAAATCTGTAACTTCATTTTTATCATGTTCTTTTTATTTTCAAATATTTGTACAAAAAATATTGAAAATAGCTTTGTGTGTGTAAATTTTATAAACCGCAAATAGAATAAAAGCAAAGTCACTCTCTTATAATTAAAAGTAAAATAATTAATGAGAATAATAATTTCTATAACAAATGGTGCCTCAATTTTAACACATCAGAATGTTTCTGGAGATTTTTCACCGTAGCCTGCAATTCGTTATCCTTGCTTATACGATTTCCTAATATTTCTTACTCCAGTTCTGCTTTCCTAATATATATGTAGCATAAAAAAGGTCATTATCTTTTTCTTCTTCCAGAGTGCTGGAACCAGTATATTGGGATTATTATCGAATTTAGCATTGGGGTAAGTTTAGCAATGAAATAAGATGAATATTGAAAAACTACAAAATATAAGAAAAATGTTAATTTAAAACTGAAAGAGTAAAACTCGCATATTTTTTATAATCTATAGTAAAAAATGTGTTATAAATAGTATGTTAGAAGTGTGTTACTACTAGTAAATTTTTTACAATTTTAAAAGAATCAAATTAAGTCATAATCTCAAACGATTATGTAGTAATAGTAATAACCAGGTAAAAGTTATTTCAATCTCAACATGAGCAAGCCAGTCCAAATTGTAAATTATTTTGCATCAATAAGATCAATTGACATTGATGAAGGTATTCTATGACGTTTCAAAATTCTAGAAGTGGCAAGTTTCGCCATTCCATAGTTCAAGACAATGACTCGATCGTCTTCCAAATCGAACCGCAAGAATTCTGTGTGACAGCTTCCAACAAGTTCGCATAAGTGTTCTAGATTGTCGATTTCTGTTCCATTAACCTTCAAAACCTGGGTATTAGAATTTAATTATTAAAGGAAATAGGCATTGAAAGAACATCCATTTTAAGATAACATGTAACTATGATCAAAATATTTATAGAACTTGTATCAAAGGTCACGCTTTTCCTAATGGAAACTAGATTGACAAGTGAAAAATGAAGTGTCAGTTTCAGCTCTTGTTAGCTGTTGATTGTCATGTGAGTGGAAGGTAATGTGAGCGGGTTGGTGATGTTTGTGTACTTAGCATAACATTCCACCTAAATCAATACCCAAATTCTGCATAATCATGCATTTTGTTAATATTTAGCATGTATTCTCTTTATTTAGTTGAGATAATTGCTACATTTTGTGTTTTCCCACACATGGGAAGTTAAAGGGGAGCTAAAAGGCAAGTTGAATGTTGCAAACCAGAAACCAAACACAAATGCAATAACAGAAAAGAAACAGCAACCAGAAAGATTTAACGGGAAACTTCTTGGAATTAAAGGATAAAGACAGAAAACAATGCAATAAGAGGACAAACCCTCTTATGCCCCAGAGCTAGGCTCCTTCACAAAGCAAAAGCTTCTCGGTGCTAGCAAAATTTAACCAAATCACAATATTTCTCAATCTCAGGCTCATCATGCCTTCTAAAACCCCTCTCTCTCTCTCTCTCCGTAACTAACTCAGCCACCTCAGCTCATTCTTGTCCTTTTCCTAATTCCTTCTTTCATTAATTTTTTTTGCTAACATAAACAATCCATTTTTTGGACTGACTTTGTGCTTCTTGGATCAAGTGCTCCTCTGGCCCATTAGTTGTTCCTTGGTTCCCATCATTGCCTCCTGCATTAAGAGCAATCTTGTCCTCAAGAGTGAGGTCAGGGAACTGGCTTCGTATTATGACCGCGTCTTCCCACGTGGCTTCTTCCGCAGGTTTCCTCTCCCAATGAATCAACCATTGTTTCAACTGCTCCCTATGCTTTGTTATGTATCGAGTGGCTAACACTAGGTGTCCATGTCATTGCAGAATCAACCTCCAAATTAGAAGGTAGCTCTGACTACACTTTGTATGCCCCCACTGCCTTCTTAAGTAACGACACATGAAAAACGGGATGGATCTTAGATGTCTCAGGCAGTTTTAAACGATACGTCACTGTTCCCACCTGTGCTATAATCTCAAAAGGCCCATAATATCGTGCAGCAAGCTTAGCATTAATTCTAGAATAGACTGATCCTTGTATATGTGGCCTTAGCTTCAAAAACACCCATTCCCCAACCTCAAAATGTTTTTCTTGCCTTTTGAGGTCAGCTAAACCTTTCATTCTCTCCTGTACCCTTTGGAGGTGCTCCTTCAATTGCTTTCTCTTTCCATCAATTCCCTCTGGACTGCAGCCACCCTAACTTCTCTTGGAATACCCTTTATCAATGAGGGTGGTTTTCGACCGTAAACCACTTCAAAAGGTGTGGTATGAGTAGCACTATGGTATGACGTATTGTACCAATACTTCGCCCATGGCAGCCAAAACAGCCACTGTCTTGGTTGATCACACACAAAACATCGTAAGTAGGTTTCTAACGTCCGATTTCTCACCTCTGTCTGTCCATCTGATTGTGGATGGTACGATGTACTCATATTCAACGATGTTCCTTGCAACCTGAAAAACTCCCTCCAAAATTGGCTCATGAAAACTGGATCCCGATTACTCACAATGGAATTAGGGACCCCATGTAACCTCACCACTTCCTCAACAAAGATCTCAGCCAATGTTTTGGCTGTGTAGGGATGTTTAAGAGGTATGAAATGCGAATATTTCGAGAGGCAATCAACTACTACCAATATAGCTTCATAACCCTTAGGCTTAGGCAACCAGGTTATAAAGTTAGTAGAAATGTCCTCCCACACCCTTTCTAGAATCTGCAGTGGTTGAAGCAAGCCGCCGGGCGTTGTAGCCATGTATTTTTGCCTTTGACATGTGTCAATCTCTTACAAACTGCTGGACCATATTTTTCATCCCCTTCCAATACAAGTTTGCCACTATCCTCCTGTAAGTTCTATAAAATCCAGCGTGCCCCCCTTAGGAAGTCTGGTGATATTCCTCCAGCAATTTGGGAATCCAAGTAGAATTTTTAGCAATCACCAACCTATCTCCTCACCACAAAACCCCATGCTTATAAGTGAACCCACTTGGAACTGCTTCTCCTCTCTGAATTCTTTCAATTATGGCCTTTAGCTTATCATCTTGCTCAGCTTCTTCAATCAAATTCTGAGTATCCATCCACACAGGGACATAAACCATAGTTCTTAACTCTCTTCCTTCCTCCTACCTAGATAAGGCGTCCGCCCCTTTATTTTCCATTCCTGGCTTGTAGATGATATCAAAATTGTACCCCAACAACTTCGTGATCCAATTTTGTTGGTTCCCCGTAATTACTTTCTGCTGTAAAAGCTGTCGCAAACTTTTATGATCAATTGCCACCAAAATTTTTTTACCTAACAAGTATGGTCGCCAATGATTAATTGCTAATGCCACTGCCATAAGTTCCTTTTCGTAGGCTGATTTGCTCAGGTTTCTCACCCCCAAGGCCTTGCTGAAATAGGCAACCAGATGTTTGTCTTGCGTAAGTATGGCACCTATCCCTGATCGGGAAGCATCACATTACACCAAGAATTCCTTTTCAAAATTAGGCAGGGCTAGGACAGGTGTTGTGGTCATGCATCTCTTCAATTTGTCAAACACAGCTTGTTCCTCTGCTTTCCATTTAAATGAATCTTTCTTAGTTAGCTCTGTCAAGGGCTTAGCCACCTTGCCGTAGTCTCTCACAAATTTTTGATAGTACCCTATCAAGCCAAGGAACCCTCTAATGCCTTTAACATTCTTAGGGATTGGCCAATCGACAACACTTCTAATTTTCTCTAGATCCACTGCCACCCCTTGTTTGGAAATCATATGTCCCAAGTACTCTATTTTAATTTGAGCAAAGAAGCACTTCTTCTTATTAGCATATAGTTGATTTACTTCCAGCAACTTCAGCACTGCCTCCAAATGACACAAATGTTCTTCCTAACTCTTGCTGTAAATTAATATATCATCAAAAAAGACTAACACATACTTCCTCAAACACCCTCCGAACACTTCATTCATCAATGATTGGAAGGTAGACGGTGCGTTTGTGAGCCCAAAAGGTATTACGAGATATTCATAATGGCTTTCATGTGTCCTAAATGCCGTTTTTGGAATATCTTCCTCCCTCATCCGCACTTGATGATACCCTGACTTGAGGTCTAATTTAGAGAAAAAACAGGCACTATTTAACTCATCCAACAACTCTTCAATCACCGGAATTGGAAACTTATCCTGTATGGTGACCTTATTTAATACCCTATAATCTATGCACATCCTCCATGATTGATCTTTTTTACGTACCAAGATTACTGAGCTAGAATAAGCGCTGTTACTATGCCTTATGACTCCATTTTCCCACAGCTCTTTCACTTGACGCTCAATTTCATCCTTTTGGTGGTGTGCGTATCTGTAAGGACGCACGTTGACTGGTCCTTCACTGGGGAAAGTTCTATATTATGGGACTTTGCCCGTTGAGGAGGTAATCCCTTGGGTTCTTGGAAAACCTTCTCAAAACGGTTTAACAACTCCTCAAGCTGCTGCTTCTGTCTAGGGGTTATGTCTTCTCTGATGTCCCTTTTTGAGATCACGTCCCCGTCCGAAATGGCCATCCGAAGGTCCTTAGTACTTCTCTTAAACAGGGCTTGCATGGGAATCAATTTGGGCACTCCTTGCAGCTCTACTGTTTCTCCATGCCAAAGAAATTTCATAGTTTGTGCTCTCCAATCCACCACCATCTCACCCAACAATGTCAGCCAGGACACCCCTAAAATCAGATCAAAATCGTCCAAATCAAACAGTAGTAAATCTAAGGTGAACTCATGGTTCCCCAATTTCAATTTGAACCCCTTACACATTCCTTCCGCAATCGCCTTGTGCCCATCACCCAAAAGAATTTTCATATTCCTTGTTTTCTCCACCTCCCAGCCCATAGCACGCGCCAGCCTCTTAGAAATAAAGTTGTGTGTGGCGCCGCTGTCCACCAACACGCAAACAGGGATCCCATGGATCTCTCCTTCCAATTTCATGGTCTTTGGTGCCGTTTCTTTCTCCTGCGTCAGACTTTGTAAGAATAAAGCGTGGCACTCACAATTGACGTCGTCTTCTGCTTCATGCTCTGATTCGAGACCTTCTTCTCCATCCACATCTTTGTCAGCCAACATAATTTTCAAATGTTTTTCTGGACATTGGTGCTGAGGGGAATAGATACCTCCACATTTAAAACAAAGCCCTTTTTTCCTTTTTTCCAACAAGTCATTATATGATAGGTGTTTTACCCCTCTGTCTCGTGGCCCACTTTTACTTTCTCCCTTTATATTGGGCTCGAACCCATTTATGCCTCCAAAGGTTTTGCCTCCTTTGTCCATATTCGTCTGCCACTTTTGATGAAAAGTGGCATTTTGCCTAGCACTCACGTGTAGTCCACTACTGCCACGTGCTTCTCCCCTTCCTTGTGGAACACCCATCTTGCCCCTGCCTCTCAATTCAATCTCAACAGCACGCGTCACATTCATCATCTGTGATTGTGACATCGGACCCAGGGCGTACAAACTCCTGACTTGTCCCCTGATGTCTTCTCTCAACCCATGAAGAAAATATGCGAAATATTGGGGTTCAAGAATTCTTGGAATTTGGGCGATCAAGAACTCTAAGTCCCTGATATATTGCTCAACATCTCCAGTCTATTGGAGTGCTGTCAATTGCTCGTAAGCATTTCCTTCCACCAGCGTTTCGTAACGATCCAATAACGCCATTTTGAGTTGCTCCTACGAAAGGTCTTCTTCCTCATTTATCAGGGAATTGAAAAAATGGATGGTTCCACCCTCCATACAAAGCTGAGCCAGGTTTACTCGTACTTGGTCACTTGTCTCTTGTACTTGGAAGTACACTTCTACTCTGGAAATCCATCCTGCAGGGTCTTCGCCATCGAACATGGGTAATTCCACCTTCTTAACTGATTGACGAAATTTGTCGAGTGCGTTGCCCTATAATTTTCAGAATCCTGATCTACTACTCTCTTGAGTGTTCTACGACGTCTTATCACGCTGCTCCTTCTGATTTCCAGATCCCTCACCGTCCTTTTCCCACGATTTATTCTGGTATTCTGCGCCTTGCGAAAGAATGTTCAGAATCCGAGATTGTGTTTCAACATTTTCTCTCCTCATCGATTCCATCGCCTTCTGTTGCTCATGGTTTTGTAATCTCATTGCCTCTGTGGACGTCCACATCCCCGCAAGCTCCTTCTCTAGTATCTTAAGTCTAGAATCCATCATTGTCTAGTCTTCCTCCGATTCCGCTGGTCCCAACTTCGATGTCACTGCAGTCGCCCCTTTCTTCTTCTTAGTTGGCATTCACTGCTCGCCCTACCAAATCCAGCAGGTCGGACCAATTTGTTGCAAACCAGAAACCAAACACAAATGCAATAACAGAAAAGAAACAGCAGCCAGAAAGATTTAATAGGGAACTTCTTGGAATTAAAGGATAAAAATAGAAAACAATGCAATAAGAGGACAGACCCTCTTATGTCCCAGAGCTAGGCTCCTTCACAAAGCAAAAGCTTCTCAGTGCCAGCAAAATTTAACCAAATCACAATATTTCCCAATCCCAGGCTCATCATGCCTTCTAAAACCTCTCTCTCTCTCTCTCTCCGTAACTAACTCAGCCACCTCAGCTCATTCTTGTCCTTTTCCTAATTCTTTCTTTCTTTTTTTTTTTTTTTTCTAACATAAACAATCCATTTTTTGGACTGACTTTGTGCTTCTTGGATCAAGTGCTCCTCTGGCCCATTAGTTGTTCCTTGGTTCCCATCATTGAAGCAGATAAGAAATTTTGACCATAAGTTGCCCATGAATTTGGAGCAAATACATGAAGAGAGGAGCTCGTTATTGTTGTCTAAAGCTCCACCGGTAGCAAGGAGAACTCACCATGGGCATGGATCGTGCTGCCAGGATGTTAAAATAACGTTTTTTTTATTTGTTTTAAGTGGCTCAAAGAGTTTTAAACCCCCAGATATAAATAGAAACACGAGACTGAATAGGGGTGACAACTACGGGTTGAAGTAAAGAGACAAGGAAAAAGCTTAGGAATTCATCATAGGGAGGAAATCCTTGCAATGAAGACCAGGGTTTTATTCTCTTTTCTTTTTCCTTTAATAGATCTTCCCCACACTGAGTGGTGGCCCTCACACAGAGCAATTAATGTTGAAAATTGATGTTGGATGTTTCAAATATGGAGACATAGGTCTAGGTTGCATTCTTCTGCTTGTCACATAATCCACTTGATTGTAGATTCCATGGCCATGCGCAAAGATGGCCTAAAGGGGCATTGTTGAGGAGAGTAGATCACATGGTTTTTAGTCTTGTGAAAAGAGATAGTCGGAGGCCAAGAAGAATTTCGGAAGAAACTATGAAAAAGGGATTTTATGGTGAATAATATCTCTGAGAATCTGGTTTTTGACAAAGTTACAGATTCTTGACAAAGTTCAATGACTTTGTGAAATTCATGTAACTAACTTCACAAAGTGGGATAAGACTTTTGTTGTTGTTGTTACATAGTCAGTCTACTTGAGTGTCCTACTTGAAGTTGCTAAAGCATTGGCTTTACATTGAGGAATCCATTTGCTTATTCAAGACAAGCTTATTTATGTGGATGTTTTTCTATTTAGCAAATCAGGAGAAAAGCTTTTATTTATCACTCTCAAGTAGATATGTGAACAATCCATTTCAAATTCTCGCACATGCTAGTATATAAATTATCCCCTTCAAAAGGAAAAAAAATGCATATGACTTTTCTTGAGTTTCTAATGTGTGCCTACGTCCAATATGATAAGAAACTAAAAATATGGTTTTTTTTTTTTACAAAAAAAATCATATTGAAGAGGTCAATCAATCCTTTTTTTTTTTTAGTAATTAAAAAACGTTTAATATGGTGTATTTAATGTTGTCTAAAATTTGATCATGGTCACACATTAGCAAAACCAAACTCTTTTTTCTAAGGCTTTATTTGGGAGTTTGGAGGGAGAAGAAAGGAAAGAGTTTGAAGGGAGAAGGAGAAGAAGGAAAAAGAGGTTAAATTCTTCCCTTGTTTGGATGTTTAATGTTGAGAAAAGAGGGTGATAAGAGATTTAATTATATAAATAATTTTAAAATTAATATTTTTTATTTTTTAATTTTTTAAAAAAATTATGACTTGAAAAATTAATTTTTTTTTTAAATTTAAAATCTTATTCATGAAATAATATGAAAGAGTGAGAGAGAGAGAACCTCCAAAATGGAAGAATTGAAAAAACAAGTTTTTAGAAGGTTTTAGAGTCTTTTCCCTTCTAATTAAGCAACTCCAAAGATTAAATCCTTTCTAACCTCTTCCCTCCCCTCCTAAACCCAACTCCCAAACATAGCCTAAGATGTTTTGTCTTTAAAGGATGCTCTATGTTGAATAATTATTATAGCATACTTTAGTAGGAATAAGGAATGGTCATTGCATATATACTACAGTGAACTAGATGTGACCATCACATGATTTACTGCAGATAAATTACTAAACAATAAGCAATTTGTCACCTGTAATTCTGCAAGACGTTCATATCCGGCATTGATATCGTCCATCAAGACCTAAAATGAACAATATATTATTAATAGAGGCAACTCTCAAACCAAATATCTACATTGTTAACTAAAACCAACTTATAAGGAATCTCTACCGCATAGTAACTTAATATTTATCTTAAATGAGAATGTTCACTTTAGGCTCCCCACAGAACTCAGGCAAATTATTTTCTACCTTGCATCTTCGCTCTTTTGACCAAATTATTTCTATTTAAATGGAATTTTAAGATTAATTTGACATGGTGGATCTAACCATCATAAGGAGATGCAAGTTTTGTATTATCCATTTAATTTTTGACCAAGCTTAATAGTGTCGTGTGTTTCATGTAGTTGACCTCACATAGTGGGATAAGACCTGTTTTTATTGTGTATATAAATATATCATTCATAGTGGCACACCAACTAATATCTTGGCTGCCCTAACAATATATATATATATATTCTGCAGATGCATCATATGACAATACTTCAGTTTGGAAATGAACTTCACATGGGGGGGTTAATCACATCAATGAGCTTTAGAATGGTGGACACTGTTTTAATATTAAGAAAACAAAATATTATTGAAAAAGAAAAGGAGTAAAGCGCAAGAGCAGATGATATTCGTCCCCAAATAAACTAAAGAAACACAAAAAGTCGGAGTGATTGAGAAAGACACAACGCATCGGGAAGCTTGTCATATCTTGGCAGTCACTGGTAGCATCAATTAATAGAGGTAGGAATAGCAAACATCATATATATAAGATCTGCACTATAGTTAAGAGATGCTCACCTGAGACAGGATAACGAGTTGTTGATTAGCTTTTTTGGGCAATTCCCGCAGTGCTCTTTCACATAAACGACGAGGTGATATATTATACCAGTCTTCCCCATACTCATGAAGGTATGGCTGAGTGAGTGGAACAAATACCAGACCGGCAAAAATGTAATAACTTGGAAGTTTATCAAACTGATGAACTGGAACTAAGGGTTGGATCTGAAATATTGATAACAATATACTTAACAAAACTATTATCCAAAACCAATAGTTAACATAAAGTAGTAAATAGAAAGAAATGAATTCATCTGTCGTCAAATAAATCTCCTTCCTTCATACATTAAAATTATCAAATGTTTAAACTAAATTAAGCATTGTGATCCCCCATGGTTAAAATAAATGCTGGGGATCTTAATCCATTATAAGTATGACAAAACAGTGAAATTACAGTGACTAACTATAACTTGGAACTACAATTCAAGGTTCTAGAATACAAGTTTTAAGCTGTAAAAAACCATGAATACAAAAATGAGTAGAACTTTTGATATCATGCATAGAATGGCATCTCTGTAGCATTTATGTCATTAAATTAACTTTTGTAAAGTTAATCACAAAAGAAAGAAATTATTTTTACTCGTTCTTGCTCCATAGAGAAAATATATTAAATACAAAGGGTGGAAAGTACAACCACAAGACAACTTATCCGACAAAGTGGAAACAAGCTAAACATATCATAACATGCAAATCAAGAATGCAGCAAAGCTGTCGAATCTGTATGCATTATCTAAAATGGCAGCACCCTGAAAAACCGATTACCAAAACACCAGAGGCCATATAATACACAACAGTATCCTATAGCAAGTTGAGGACAATCATTGACTTATTTAACAGAAAAAATGCATAATAACTTACATGTTGGAGAATGATACTAAGCTCATGCTCTTGGCCATCTCGCAAGACTCTGACTATTGCTTTTTCATTAGGTTTCTTCATAGACACCAAGTGATCGAATGTTATCCGTTCTCTGTTGCGGAAAGGAACTGAAGTATACATGTCATATTATGCCAATGAACTTAAGGAGAATTATAGACTTAAAAAGGTGGTTAAAAATGTTCTTGATTCCTAAATATTGCGACATTTTGATTTTTCTCTCTCAATTCTTTATATTTTAATACCTAATATTTTTCTAAATTTAGCATTTTTGGTCCCTTTCACTGAGTAACCCCACAAAAAATAGACACATGTCAACCTCTTAATTAGTCATGTCATCGTTTAAAATCACGCCCCTAAAAAAGAAATTCATGAAAAATTGCCAATAACATCTTGACTGTATCTTAGAGTAATTTAAAGTATTTTAGATTGTCTTTTGGATTAGAATCCCTAATTTTTTCTAACTATAGGTTTCCATATTACATGATTTGTTCCTTGTTTACTTAGAATTAGGTCCTAGTATTAGTAAGGATTAGCGCTTTATGTTTTGTATCACATTGTAACACATCATATCAAATCAAGTCAATATGTATTTAGTCTTCTTAGTGTATTTAATTTCTCTTAAAGTCAGAAGTAAACTTGAAAGCTTGCAAAATCTGTCGAGTCAGAAGATATGAAGGCAGAAGCAAAGATATGTGTGTAAAGGCAAGTGATGCTAAATGGTGGAAAAGTGCAAAAACAATAGCTTGATGGCAGAAGCTTCAAACTCGTCCTTGCAAAGTGCAAACAAAGAAGGAATGAGGCAGAGAGATAGCATGAGTGAGGGAATGAGAGTGGGAGAGATTATGGTTAATTTTTGTCATGATTTCACAATAATGTTGCATACATCTACTCTCCTCAAACCACACCAGGTGGAAGCCTCGTGCACTAGGCAGCCTTTTCTAGAGGGCAGGCCTTAGCATCAAGGTATGGTTTTTGTCTTGGGAGCTAGGGTGTTTGGAGAAACGAGAAAAAAGATAAAAAAAAAGGAGAAAAACAAAAAAAGCATTTAACATGATTCGGCATATAATGTATGCATTTATGTCCACGCTTAGACTAGGGAAATAATTTTATTGACATACTAAAGGTTTATAAGTTATCACATATATATAATAATAAGAAAGGGAAAATTCTCTAAAAATAACTTATGTGAGACTAATTAGATTGTACAACTCTAACAATTCTCTCACTTGAAGTTGGACTTTCAATTGCAACAACTTGTAAACCATGAGCTACTCTGCATTCACCTAATGCATTGCTTTCATCATCAATTATCCTTGAGGGCCAACTAAGGTAATGGAAAGCCACAATTTATCAGTTGTGACAGTCTTGCTTACCATATTAGTTGGATTCTTTGATCCTAAGATTTTTATCAAATTTAAATCTCCATCATTTATTAACTTCTAGTTCATCATACTTGCAAGGTTGGATTTTCAGCAAGAGAGAGAACAATTTTATTGTCACTAAATAATGGAGAATCATTTCATTCCTTTTCCAATTCTTTGAAAAAAGAGTAAATACACAAATTAGTCCCTGTTATGAATAGTTAGAATAGACGTATTAGAATTAGGATTTATTTTAGTATTATAATAATGGGCTTGACCCAATAGAGTTACATATGTATCCTTATAAATATAAAAGTCTCTACACATTGTAGAGTATCTAATTCCAGCACACTCATTTGTTTCTCTCTTTCTATGCTCTTTCTCTCTTAATCTTTACATGGTATCACAGATTCAGTGACGTGATTCTGAAATTTGGATTAGTGAGGAGTGAGAGTGATTATACAGTGTTTTACAAACAGACTAACTGCGATTGTATTTTACTTGTTGTTTATGTTGATGATATTGTTATTACAAGTAGCGACAAAGAAGAAATCAGCAACCTAAGCTTCAAACTAAGTTTCAAACAAAAGACTTAATTCTGAAATACTTCTTGGATATTGAAGTCATGTACTTCAAGTAAGGAATCTTCCTTTCACAGAGAAAATATGTCTTAGACTTATTGACTGAGATCGGACTAAAAGGAGCTAAACTATGTGAGACACTTATGGAGCCAGAAGTGAAACTGACAGCAGATGGAGTTCTTTTTGCAGCTACAGAAATACAGAAGATTAGTAGACAAGCTAAATTACTTGACTGTCACAAGGCCGGATATTGCTTTTCCAATGAGTGATGTTAGCTAGTTTATGTCATCTCCGACGAATACTCATTGGGAAGCACTAATCCGCATTGTGAAGTATTTGAAGAAAGCATCGAGAAAAGGAATTGTGTACAAAGATCATGGGCACCAACTGAAGTATACATGTCATTAGATTGATGCTTACAAGGCAAACATGCATGTGTAAAGCAAGACTGAAAGTAAATAATGTATAAATGAAAATCCAACAGCAAAGAAAGAACACACCTGTCCCATCATTTGCTATAGGCACACCATCAAATGAAAGTATAATATCATCCTTCTTCAAAACATTGTATGCATCTGAGAGTGGATTAACTTTGCTAACAAGCACCCCAGTCCTGTTAGGTTGCATGCTAAAATGGTTTCTGAGGTGCACATTTTCAGTAGTTTGGCATGACACACCCAAAGAGCAAAATCCAATATATTTTCCACTTTCTTCTACACCAGATATAAAATGCTTTATTACAGGTACGGGTATAATGTAACTGCAACATCCAACATGAAAGGAAGTAATCTAGTATGCAAAATTTATGTTTGATCAGACAAACAGAATAATATAATGCTTCATGATAGTTTGCTAGGTTGTACACTTGTTCTTGAAACTAGGTCATGTATCATGATAGTTTGCAGTTTTGTCAATGGCAGCCATCATGGCAGGTATTTGCTCTGCTTCCATTACAACATCTCACCATGTAAGGTTGCTTATGATAAACCCTCCCTGTGTCCCCCCTATAAAACCACTGGGCTTGTATCTAGGAGTAATTAGGCCTTTTGTCCAAACACACTTTCTCTCACCACTCTACACTCTTGCATATGTGCACATGGACTCTGCACCAAGCCTCATAATTAGTAAAGATCTTCACATATCTGTAGGAAACTCTCATGCAGTAATTTGTTTCTCCGTTTTTCATCTATGTTCTTCCTTCTGTTTCAGATTTTAATTATTTTGTTTTACAAGCTTTCACCTTGGCTTTTTCCCCCTTTTACTTTACTCTTTCTTGATTATTTGGTTCAGTTTCAAAATCACTTAATCTCTTCAATTCTGTTTCAGTTTTCATTGGGTATCTCTGTTTTGTCTGTTTCACAGTACCTACTTCTGCTTTTATTTTTCTTCCTTCTAAATTTGTATTTTTCTATCTATTTCTGCCCTACCTACCTACCTACCTATATATATATATATACAAATTTTCTCTATACTATAATCAAGGGTTCCCATTACAACCTATATTTTTGTCTATTCATGATTTTCATTCTTACTTATTTTTCTACCAATTTGAATATTTTTTTCCCTGCCTATTTTCCCTGCTCATTTTGCGTGTGTGATCATTAAAGTGAATATTCACATGAATTTTTGTTGTATGAGCTATAATTTGTTTTATAAATCTCTTTGTTGTGTTATTTTTTTTCTCATGAATATTATATCATTTCTTTCATGGTTTTTTTTTTATATTTTCTTTTTTTTGTTAATAAATTTACTTGTGAATTATACTAGTATATATGAAAATAAAAAATATTGGAATACTAAGTGTTTAATTAATGAATGCTAAGCTTTGAACTAAAGAATAATAAATGAAAAGAAAATTAGCCTTACCCTATATTTTCGGCACCTGAAAGATTTTGGAATGCTACTCCAGCAACTTTATTGCTCATAATTGCAGGGCCACCACTGTTCCCTGGATTTATGGCTGCATCAATCTGTATTGCCATCAACTGTGATGCACCATGGACATATTGTGTAGGTTCAACCCTGGAAACAACTCCTTTAGTGACTGAAATGTTGTCACCACCTGCAATCCAACACCTGTATTACTTTTTTAATGCAAATTTGCCGTCACTTCTGTCACAAGTGCTCACAGATTTCCATGGAAATGATGGAATGCATGCCTCACATAACTTCACAATAATGTCAATTGCTTAAAGCTTCTTGTTTTAGTTTTGAGAGAAGATAATGTTTCAAGAGAAATACAAGTATAAATGAGGATAAGAAATCCTTAGAGAAGGTCCTCCACTCCAAAAGAAAAAAAAAAGTGAAGCAAACAAGGGGAAAAATTATCTACTCATTGATATAGCTTCACATAATTTGTTTGAGAATTTTAACCAGAATAACAAGGCTATGCTTTTTCTGGCAGTATGCAATTTGTACAGTTCTATGTTGTATTTGGTTGGATGTTGAAGAGGTGCATCGGTTGGTCTTTGGTCATAAAATGTGTTATGCGACAGGATTGTTTTTATGGCTTATCTTTGGTGCTCAGGTTGGTTCCAGGGAATTTCAATTCGTGATATCCAAACAAATTAGACAAATTTTGTGCATTTATCAGATACTTTGGCTTGCTTTTATTATATTTATATTTATATTTATTATTAATTATTTATGAGGATGTTTTATCCTTCTTTTGTTGCAGTGTTTTTCTTTTATTCCTTGTAACATATAATTCTTTTATCTAAAACGGGGAATACAACACAACTATGTAACAAAAATTAATTCTACCTTGAGGATATCCCACAACAGCAACAGCTTCTTGTAAAAATGGGACATCTCCAAGCTCCAAGGGATTCATACCATCCCAAAACTCTTCGTTTTCAACAACCAATATAGCTAAGTCACATTCATGACCGACAGCTTTGACTTCTGCTCTATATTTGGTGGGAGAGCCATGCTTCCTTACAAGTACAAAAGAATGATCAGCTACCACATGAGCATTTGTAATAATCTTTCTACCCTGAATTACAAACCCTGCATCACCATCATAAAGATTCCTGAGAGAGAGAAAATAAAGTAAAAGTAAATAACTAGGACAGCATGGCCCAGAGCATAAATGATTCAACAAATTTTCAGAAACTTCCCATTTTAGTCCTAAAAAATACACGCATTTCTCAGATTATTACATTACCATTGGCTGGGTGGAATTATTATGGTAATGTAGAACAAAGAACCAACAGGGATCAAGAAGGAATTGCTGAGATTCCACGATCAAATAATCGTTCAAACTTACAATGATCTTTATAAATGACTATCGAACTTAATAAATGAAAATTTGCAGGTCTTCATTGAGGCAGACAAGAGAGAAAAAGTGGAAGTAGAAAAAGAAAAACTAACCAGAGCCCATTGTTTCCCTCTGGGACTTGTTCTGCCAAGGAAGTAAGTAGTTGGGACTGCACGAAACAGTGAAAATTTTGACTACAGAATTCAATGCAAGCTCGATTGCCGTATTATGCGCCGCGTTGGCCTCACGAGCCTTCCTAGCTGGCGTTCTCCCGTTCCTGAACTTGTAACTTTTGACCACCGATGCCGACGACGTCAAATACACTTGCGATTCACTTCTAAGAATTGACAATGACTGAGAATCAGCATTCTGTATAGTCTTCGTCGCTGATGGAGCTAAACGACAGTCTTTCAACAAATGGGAACGAAAGGTTGACGAAAAATGGTTCCGAGCTATACGGACAAATGACGCCATGATTTGCAAACCTGGCAATGGTGCACTCCTGCGGGGTGTCGCTTCAACTCAATTTTACTAGGTTAAGTCCTCTCGGCGTCTGATTTATACTAGACTTAATTAATTCATCTCTAAAAATATTGTATTTAAATTATTCAATTTTAATTCACATCATTTTAATTTCAACTAAAATACCCTTTTTTTTAGGTGAAAAAAAAATTTAAACAGAAAAATATTTCTCAAATACCTTATCTTGAAAATATTTTTTGATATTTATCCTGTTTTGACAAAAAAAAAAAACTCCTATTTTGTCATTAGTTATTATAAACTCCTTTATCTCTGTTAGATATCAACATCCTCATTAAAAAAAAGGTTAAAAAATAAAATCAAATTTAAAGAAAAAATTTGACGTAAAAAATAACTTATAGAATTAAATTAAATTAAAAAAGGTTAAACGATTCAACTAAAATGAAGTTAAATATACAAAATTAAATTAAACAAAAAAGAAAGTAAAAAAGAGTCAAATCAAAATATAAATTAAATACAAAGACAAAATGTATAATTTAGTTATATTATTAATAATAAAATTTTTATTTTATTAAATGGAATGAATTAAAGATACTATATTTTTGAAATTCAAGATATATTATTAAAATAAATTGTTTAATGCAAGAAAATTCATTTATATGCATATTAATTTAAAATGATGTTTAAAAATTAATTTCTAATAAAAATCAAATAAAATTATGCTATTTAATTGAGAGAATAAAAAAATTTAAATATTTACTATAATATCTTTATTTTGTTTATATTTTTTTTAGACCACTATAAGTTTCCATAAGTAAGGCATATATCATAGAGTCAATTATAAAATTTAGTTTTATTTAATGAATTAAAAATAAAAAAATTGGTTAAATCTTAAGTTATATAACTAATATATTTTTAATTTTGGTTAACACCAACATCTAATAGAAATTTAAAATATGATTTAAGTAAGTTTATTTGAAGAATTAAACTACATTTCACTCACTGTTGAAAGAATGTGTGAAAGAATGAATAATTCATTATTGTAAAAAGGAGAAAGTAAAAAGTTTGAGAATATTTGACTTTAATTGGAAGTTAGGGTAAGTTTTTCCTCTCATTTTGAAGTTAGAAACTCAAGAGTAAAAAATTGAGGCTAGAAATAAAGAACACTTTTCTTTTCCTTCAACTAAAGATGGAAACAAATTAGGACAGACTAAACTTTACTTTAAATAGACATAACCTGTAACATAATTATTAGGTTTGATCCTGACCTGTTACCTTTTAAAGACTTTATTTTCAGTCTGATTTGACGTATGAGGTGGTCTAGCCTAACCTGAAGCTTGTTATAAATAGAAATCTTAATATTAATAAAAATATAAATATTTTATTATCAAATTAGTTTACATATTTTGTTACTTTTTATCTGTATTATTGATAATTATTAAATAATTGTAATAATTTTATAAATAATTTTTAAAATATTATTTGAGTACTAATTATAAATATTTTATATTAAATAAATTTATATTTATATTTTTCTTGATTTATTTTTAAAAATTATTAAAACATTAAAAATTTTAGTTTTTTTTAGAATTATATTTTGTTTGTTTAAAGACATCTTATATTTAATAAATAAAGTCATAGTACACACATAAAATGATTACAAAAAATAACATTTACACAATTTGTTGAATTGGCTGAAAGAAAATTATTATATTTTAATAAATAAATAATTTAAATTTAATGTAATATATAATAATAATAATAATAATAATAATAATAATAATAATAGAAATTAAATTAAAAAAATAAAATAATTACAACATATTTAATTATTTATTTTATTAATTTATTATTTTAAATTAACAAATACACGTAAAATTAATTACACTATAGTATTAATATAATATAAAAAAATATTACGAATACAAAAATTAAAATATATACTTATATATAAAATATAAATTGATAAATTATCAAATAATTTAATTTTTTATTATGTAAATATTTACAAATTATTAAATTTCAAATGTATGTTAACAATTATAATTAAAGTATTATAGATTTTAATTATTCTTTTATAATAATTATATTTTGTTTGTGTAAAGACATCTTATATTTAATAAATAAAATTACAGTAAACACATAAAGATGATAACAAAAAATAACACTAAAAAAATTTGTTAAATAAACTAAAAAAAAATATTATATTGAAAAAAGTAAATAAATAGTCATTGTAAAAATTAAATATAAAAATATTTTTATTATAAAATTTAAGGATGTAGAAAAATAACATATGAGCATAATAATAATTAATAAAATTTATATTTAAATTAAAATAATTTATATTTCTAAACTTTTATCTTAATTAAAAAATATGTAATAAAATTTAATATAAAAATTTAAACTCAATACAATATATATATATATATATATATATATATATATAATGATAATAATAATAACTATTAAATTACTAAATAATTATAAAATATTTAATTTTATTTATTTTTTATTTTAAATTAATAAATATACATAAAATTAGCTACACTATAATATTAATATAATATAAAAAATATTACTAATACAATACATTAAAAATATATATATATATATATATATTATATAAATTAATAAATTAATTAATAATTTAATTTTTTATTTATACTTTTTTATGTAAATATTTATTAATTATTGAATTTTGAATGTATATTAACAACTATATTTTTTAAGAAAAATCTATTTACATTTATGACAAATTTGTGAAAAATAATTATTTAAAATTTGACATATTTATATTTAAGTGTGTTGTTGTATGCTGTGGATTTAGTATCTAAATTTTTTTTTATATGTACTTTGTTCAAAAAATTTATACCAATAAAAATAAAATACTTATTAAGTTACAAAAAGTATATATTATTATATATAATTTATTTAAAATTATATTATTTACTATATGGTTCTATATATATATATATAAAGAATTTTTATTTATTATAAGGAAAAAGAATTAAACGTAATATATTAATATAATAATTAAATATTAATAATAATAAAATTAAAAATATATTAATATAATATTATTTCATTTTTAAATTTTATTTCATTCAATTTTGATTACATCTTGTTCCTGTTTAAAGATTTAACCACTCTTTAACTTATTTAAATGCAACAAATATGATAATTTATTATTAAATAAATTTATTATTTAGAAAGTGTAATCGTGTGTAAATATTTTTAATTTTTAATAGAATATAATTTTTATTTATTATAATTATAAATAAAAAGAATTATAACATAATATATTAATTTAATATAACATAAATAAAAATATATTATTAAATAATTTTATTATTTAAACATGTTTTGAAAGCTCTATTTTTAAATGATATATATATATATACAGGCCGGCCTGTCAGGCTTATCAGGCTTTGTAAACAACTTAGACTTGACTTGTTTACTTAAATAGGGCTTCAAAAAAAGCGTAAGCGTTATTTGTTTATTAAAAAGGTCAGGTCAAGCTAGGCTTAAACTAGGCCAGGCTGTAGTCTCTGTCAGGTGGCTTGACCTGTTTCCATCCCTACCTTCAATACTCATAAAATCTGGCAAAAGAAGAAGGAAACACTTGTTAGATGTTAGAGTTTGAATGAGGTTGAGATCCTCTTAGTTGTGAAAGTGCTCCTTACTCCTTGATGGTTTATGCTTATATGTATGAGTATTTTTATTTTTTTTATTTTCTATTGTTGGTGTTATAGTATTATTCATTTCTATTTTGATATGTAGTTAACGTTGCTTTAAGATTGGTTACTTTAGTTCTTATTTTATGATATTATGCTCTAATATTAGGCTGACATTGTTGAAACATTGTTTGATATTTGACTAAACATGCTGAACAAAGTTATGCGTCACTCCTCTCCACACTCAAAGTGACAACACGTAAGCCCTTTGATGAAATACACTTTTGCGTGGCTACTTTTCTCTTGAAAAGTGATGAACTAGTTTTGGAGGAGATTCTGAGCTAAGAATATTGATGATAAGGATTAAAGAAGAGAAAATAGAAGAAAGTGACAACTCAAGAGTAGATTTAGCAAAATGAAGTGAAAATGTTCACTTTAAGTGTTCAAATTGAACACTTCAGAACTTTATTCCAAAAGAAGAAGTGAAAATGTACATTTTGTTAGCTTATTTTTGCATTTTAATTAAATAAAGCCCTATTTCTCAGGGTTGAACTAGTCTGGCAGTTAGCTATTCTTTAGGTGTGCGTGACCTACTTTGTAGCCATGTACGTAGAATCAATTTTTTTAAAACTTCTCATGTAAAGGCTTATAAAAGCCGGTTGTTCTATTTGAATTATGGAAGAGTATTCTCGACTTAAAACAGTGTGTGCGCAAGTTGTGCTCTCAGTTTTTAACAATTGGTATCAGAGCTCCGTAAGGGGCCTGAACCGGTGTAAACGTGAGTGAAAGAAGTGAAAGGAGTGTGAAGTCTGGGAAACAGTGTGAGTGCATAAGCAAAACAAAAAAGGAAGGATGTCTGGGTCAGAGAAATTTGTTCAACCGGCCATCTCGAAATTTGATGGTCATTATGAGTTTTGGTCCATAACCATGGAAAATTTCTTATGCAGCAAGGAGATGTGGCAAATTATTGAAAATGGAATACCTCTGTTAGGTACCCACCCCACTGAGGCTCAACAGAAGCTGTAGCTGAGGCTACGTTGAAAGACTTGAAGGTAAAAAATTACCTATTTCAAGCCATTGACAGGGAAATCTTAGAAACCATTTTGGACAAGAATTTGTGATCTTGGGGATAAGAATTTGTGATCTTGTGATTTCTTAATTTCTAATGCCTAATGCAATGTTTGGTTGATTTACACCGAAGGAATTAGGGTAGTTAATTGAATATTAGGATTAATGATTCTAGGAATTGAACTTTGATTAATCTAGTAAAATTGATCATCAATCAATTAAGGAACTTGGAGTTCAGATCTCATTCAGTTT